AACAAGTATAATGTTTCAAGTGTTGTTTTAAATCTACATTATATTAGCTTTTAAGAACTATTTTTCATTTAATTCGTATGGTTTTCTTATCTTTATTAATGATATAAGATTTAAACAAAATTTTTATTAGCGAAAAGTTTATCCTAATGTATTCTATGTTTCATTTTGAACTGGAAAAGTATTTCAGTGAAAACGCTACGCATTTGCTGAAATGTTTGATTTTAACTCTTTCAGTCCTTTTTATGCACATAGCCTTTGATACAAGTACAGTGACTAATTAACAATAACCAAAGTGAGAGACAAAGAGAAACCATTGCCTGATATAGTAGAAATATTTTTGAGTTATAATTATAATTATTATATGCAGGGTATCTACCCACCTGCCAAAGACATAAAATACTTTATTTTATGTCTTTATCATGTTCTTTAAAAATTATGGTGTTCTTTCAAAAAATGAAAGAAAAAACATTTCTAGCTCGAATTATCTTTTGTGATAATAAAATATTGTGCGAATAAAATATTGTGATTTCAGGGTTTTTATTATTTTTTTTATTTTATCAATTTAAAATTCTAGCTTAAGCAAGCCAGCATTGGTGAATATTTTTTTACTCCGAAATGAGAACAGAAAAATCAGGATTATTTCTTTCCTTTCCGATGAGCAAGAAAATTATCTTTAGAATACAATTCTGCAGAAAAAAATTGCTCTTGTATTTTTTTCAGCTATTTCATTGCTTCAACTCTTTCTTTACTCTGTTTTTTAAATTTAAAATCAATAAATATGAACATGCAGAGTATAACGGTTTTGGTTATACCTATCATTTCAATTAATGTTATTATAATGCTTTTTAAATTAATTATTCTATTTTTGTCGGTGAAAATAATAACTTCGTTAAGTCATGAAAAGTTCTTTGAATTGGTCATGAATTTGAAAATCTAAAATGTAGCTGATACCCGTAGAAATATTTTTGAGTTGTAATTATAATTATTATATACATTAATTCAAAAATTTTCTTTTATTATCCGATTTTTTATTTAATCATTTTAGTAGTTTATTTTATATTCTGGTCGTACAACACTTTTTATTCTGATCTCAATTTATTGTTATTGAAGCTAGTTTTAAAAAAAAAACTTTATGTGCCTGTTTAAAGAAATACATAAAATTCAGAACATCCTTCATTTATTTATGCTTTCAAAGAAACTTAAAAACTCATTGGTATAGCTGGTATTTTTTAATAATTTCCCCCTTATATTTTACTACTTTTTAGAAATTTTTAAGGAAATATAGTATACATCGATTAAAGAAATATGGTGCAGGTCGATAGAGGAAATATCGTGCTGGTCATTTAAAGAAATACATATAAAGCGAGTTCTTAACAATGTAGCCTTAGGTATAATGAAGAAATTTCTTTGTATGATTAGGCAGCTCAATTATACAACATATTACATAATTACACATTAACATAGTGCAACATTGAACTGGACTGAAAGGGTTAATGTATTTCTCTTATTATATTCATTAAATGCGCCTATTTTAAACCTGTGAAATATACTATGATTAAAAAAAATAAGTTATGAGAATTATCATTTAAAAATTTCAGTTTTATTTTAAAAATCCAATAACTTTGTTTATTTTCATAAATAAAAAAACATTAAATATGCATAAATAAAAGCATTGAACAGTTTCAATGTGTATTATTAAGTTTTGCATTTTATTGATCCTTCTATTGAGATAAATGATACATTTTATATGTTGCCATGATTTTTTTTTGAATACCATTGTTGTTGCAATTTTTTGAAACATTAGCACAAAATTATTTTTTTATTCAGCACTAAATAATAAATCCACACATTTTTGGCCCAATTCTTGTTACTAAGTGGTATGTTTTCGTCCAGCTAAACTTGTGTAAAAATGACACACGTAAGAAACTTTCAGAGCGTTAATGTATCTCAGTGTCATTTTTATGCATATTAAATGAACGAACTTACCACGTTGGTTCGGTTTCCAAGCTCAGTCAAGAAAAAAAAATAGTTTTTTAAAGAATTAAATTTTCTTTCTAATTCTTTAGTGTGGAGTAATTCACGAAATGACTTTCGTGACACCCTGTAATTTTCACTCATTAAAACGGAAACCTTAAGTTTTGGCTTCGAATGTTACACAGCACTGGCCAGGACAACTGACNTCATTTTCTGAAAGTTTTTCTGCTCCCATTCAAAGAAATCTATGAATTAATTTTTCTCAGCAAACCAACCAGTCACATTTTTTTACAATCGCTAATGTTTGGTCGACAAATCTTTACAATTGTTGCATTAATGATTCTTGATTCAAAATTTTGTACCAAAACATTAAAAATTAAATAAAAAATCTTGCCCAATTGCCTACACTTTATGAAAAAAACAAAACAAAAACCTGGAAATTTTAAGATTTTTATCTGGAAAACCTGGAAAAATCAGGGAAATTTGAAATCTGATTTGAGTGGCCACCCTGCTTTCGTAATTTTAATGCATAGGAATCACTAAAATTTTCACGTCGCAAATTAAGGTCTAAGATGTTAAAAAAGCGGCACCAACGAAATGGCAAAATAAAATAATAGAAAAATATTTATTTTCTATTTATGTTCCTAATCAAACAATTCAACTTTCGTGATTTTAATGCATAGGAATCACTAAAATTTTCACGTCGCAAATTAAAGTTTTAAGATGTTAAAAAAGCAGCACCAACGAAATGGCAAGAATAAACTAATCGAAAAATATTTATTGATGAATAAGCTCGAAAATTTTAATGATAAAAGTAAATTAACTACCTGGTAATTTAAGTAAATTAACTATGGGTAAGTTATAAGCTGTGTGAATGAAAAAAATGTCCATCAAAACTAAAAATAAATTTATAAAATCAATCGAGATTTCGTCAGTTAAAAGCCTCTTAATTTTGGAAGTGATTCAAGTCAGTACAGTGGAAACTTGTAAGCTGATGCAGAAACTAGCATATATAAAGCGCTTTGAGCATCATTAGTACTGTTCGCTGTAGGAAATAAATACTTTTTTTTCCCCAATCCAATGTGTATAAATTACAATGCCATCCTGTTTAGTACGCCCTTTCTTCATTTCATTTTGTTTTTCATCTTACCACCATTTAATTTTACCATCTCGTTTGCAATTTCGTTAAGAGTTAGTTGCATAGCCACCTGGCTCCTTTCTTGTCATTTAACTCTAGTTTCAATCAGTCTTTTTCTCAATTTATTTCATATGAAAGTTATGACTGCTTTGTAAAACCAACTGTACTTGTCTTATATAAATGTGATTGAACTTGGAAACAGTTACCTGGTTTCGAGAATTGGGTTATACGTCTTCTTAACTAAAGAGCAAACTGAAGAGGATTGCTCAGGGCTCAAATGTAATGCATTTAAATTTCACTGAAGTTTAGATTTAGATTAATTAAAGGTGAAAATAATTTAAAATGATGTGTGCTGTAGACTTATTTTTCAACATTAATTACTGTACGTTAATTTCTTTGTTTTTTAAAGAAAAAAAAATCATTTTCGAACTACAGCCTTTAATTATATTAATCAAATTTTGCAAAGAAGCTCTTATATAAAGTCTTTCTTCTTGCTGGCCCAAAAGTCACAAAAATAAGCGCAAATTTCATTTACATTTCAAACATATTTTTTTAATTTAGATTTTTAAAATTTTGTTATTTAATATACAAAATTAATTTTCGCAATGTGACCACCCAAAAATTTTACACTGCTCAGTAATTTGGGAAATTTTGTTTGACATTCAGCAAATTTAGGTACTTGTTTCATTCGTCCAATGCGTTACAAATGGAACTTGACATCTTGTGTGATTCAAGCAATAAAAAAGACATCCTTTTTAATGAAGTCTTGAAAACATCAGAAAATAATAATTCATCTTTAGTAAATAAACGGCCGTTTAACGAAAACTTGTTTCTAAGATCGTTCTTTTAGCAAAAATTTAAAATTGAATCCACCTTTTTTTCAACAAAAAAAAAAAAGTATTTTGCGATTCTGCTGAAGATGATTTTTCTCTGAGGATAATTGACTGCAAATATAATAAATGAGCTGCAAAAATTATTAGGTTTCAGGCAGGGGCTGATTGAGGCTTTTCGTCAATGACAAAAATGGTTTTTCCGATACAGAAATATTTCGCGTGTACGAGTTCATATGACATTTTGTACAATATTCTTTACATTTACTTACTATCTTCCTGTGACAGGGTTAAGGATATTCTTTACTTATAAACCTCTTCCAAGCTCTGATTGCAAAATGATTTTACACGACTGTTTATACACGAAAATTTATTTGCTCGTTTTCCATTCTCAGCTTAGCTTACACATTTTAATGGAAACAGATTTGTTGGATTGGGTTTCTGTAAGAAATATATTTTTGGTCTTTTAGTACACATTCTATCCAAAGTACTGTAGTATTTGAACATGCTATAGTTCACCTTCAAGTCTCTTTTGAAAGGAAAAAAAAAATAATTAAAGATCTCGTTGCAAGTTTAAAGAAAAAAAGGAAGAAACTAGACTTAACTACCGTAGCAACAATTTTTCTTGGCCCAAGTAAGGGTCAAAATTTGGATAGCCTGATTTTGCCCAAATGAACCTAAATAGGTTCGAACTATTTTATACTTCCCAGGCAAAATAGTGATTTGAAAATGTAGGGTAAATCGGACAAATCAACATGGGTTCGGGCTATCGATACAATATATCGAACAATTCTATATAGGGCCTATCTAGGCATAATATTAGCTGATAACGGCGCCTCTAGTACTTATTCAACCACGATTCTTGAACATTGCTCCCATGGCGGTCTGTGTTAATTTGCTATTACCTGATTTTTTTTTTATTCGTGTAAAATAAAAGCATGTCTCATAAAAATTTGATTTAATTAACCTGTTTTAAAGACTTCATTTTAAAGATGATATTTCGTACACTAGCCAAACTAATTTCACTAAAGTAACAGCATAAAACGTGAACTAAAATAAAGAATTAAAAAATATGGTTTTATTGTTCAAAGCTGTTGAGACTTGTGGGCCACTTTATTTCCGATTAGTTTTGTGTTTTGCTTTACCCCTCAATTTAAAGCTAATCAGCCCAATTCTCGTACCAGACAAAACCGGTACCAATTGCCAGTAAAATGTGTAACAAAGTGACGTAAAGTACGTAAAAATCCTTAAATTGTCTTGTCAGGCGTCATTTTCAAGCATTTTTTACCGACAAAACTTATCGGCGACTGGTAGGAGAACTGGCCTGCTTTTCTCTTTATGGAACTTGGCTTATCAATATTCCTCATTTGCAGTAGCTTATTTTGATTCCAAAAATATATATACTACATATTCTCTGTATAAACAACTTCATATTTATGTATGGTTTTTATCATTTTAAAAAAATTATAGATTTTTAATAGAATAATGGTGCGATTTGTAATTCATATAAATAAATCCATAGTTAAATAAAATTTGAGTTAATTGAACTGTTTCTGCTTTGACATTTTTCACGAGCGTGTTCTTGATTAATCCATTGATTAAATGAAGTATTCACTGAAGAATAATGTCTAAACCACTAAGGAATTTTAGAATTTCGTCTAAAACGAATTCTTCGTTCAAAATCCATTTTTTAGGCCGTGCTGTATTTTTTATCAACTTGTAAGATTTCAATGTTAGATATTGCAAATTAATATTTTAAGATTACAATATGCAGTATTATGAGATCACTATACAGACCTAAATTAACTAGATCAAGAATAATGATGAAAATTTTATCTTTGACTCTTGTTAGCTACGAAGGAAATAAATTGTGTCTGAAAACGAATTCTTTTTCAAAATGTATGAGCATTAAATAACTAAATTGAATCAAGCTCAGTACGTCTAAAAAAACTTTTCATTGTTAAGAATTGTAAATACTCCGTCCCTTTAAGTATAGAATTTTTGAAACTCTATGATTATTATGGATGATTCAACAATATGCGTTATGATTAGCAATATATATTTTTATGTACGTAGCTTTGCATTTCTTAAGTAAATAAGACTATAGCTTATCCTCTTATAAGGATTTTTTTAAGTGAACTAACCCCTATTTGCCTTACAAATAAGGGTTCTGCAGTTAGTTTGAGGATAATGAGATTCGAACTGTTGATTCGTTTACCAGTGAAGATATTTTGTAACGGCAAAATCTCAGAACAGCAAAAATCACATATCAGATTACAATTTAAACTTAGGATATTTGTGAAAAGCTATTAAGAGAGAAATCGGATAAAGCAGATTTTGTTAAAACAGAATATTTTTAGTCGTTGGTTGAATATCAGAAATAAAATAGCTTTAAGTAAGTCAACAATATACATTCTTGCCTCAAATCATTTGTGTGGATGATTTTATATCAGCAATCAAAAAATATATATGATAAAAAGATTAATTTTTTTGAAACAGTTATTTATATTGTTGGAGACTTTCTTACAACACTTTGCGAGCGACAATGTACCAGTGGTTCTTCAGCTCACTGATTAGTTCCTGTTTGGTATTCTTGCATGACCTTTCGGAGCATTTGGTTACAGAGTGCTGCATAAGGATTCATCTGAACCAGCATTGATCGTGCTAAATCACTCCCTAGGTCTTTGGCTTTCGTGAAATCAGCAATGGCCTCCTTTTCCCTGTTCTGAAAACGGTGGATAAAAGCTCGCTGACAATAGGCAAGACACGCTGTTCGACCTTTGCCTCCGCTCAACTCGATGGCTCTGTTCAAATCCTTGAGAGCAGCTGGAACGAAAATGAAAAACAGTATTATTTAACGTTTCTTGTATTTGTTTGATGTTTGTAAGATTTTTAAATCCGTTTTATTCAGGTTGTACATAGTTTTACAGCTTTTCTCAATTGCGTTCTCTGTTGATGAACTTGGTAACTAATTTTGAAACTTGGTAAGAATGAATTTCAAAATTACTTTGATGATAGAGAAAAGTGAAATACTCTTTTTTTTTTCTGTCACTGTTTAATACAGACAAAAATCTCCGTTAATTTTGCTAACAGCCCCTCAAGTAAGTTGAAACACTCCGGGATAACTTTATACAATAGGATTCGAATAATATTTAAAAAAAATATATAAATATGTATGTCAAAAATAAATTTTAATTTGTCGTTTGCACCTGTGCAAGCAACGGCAACTTCTTTTTACTTGTGTGTGCTAAAGTTGCTTATCAGCCTGCAGTTTAGCACAAACGAGTTGCCTTTAAAAACCAGCCTGTTTGCTCTTTATTTGTGAAGCCCCTGCTGTTTTCAGTGATATTTCTCGAACTACATCAAATGTCCAAAATAAATAAATAATGAATTAAACTTACAGTAAAACAAAATACCTGCATTATCGAATTTGAGCCGATAAGCTTGAGCTCTATTGTTGTACCCAGATGGTCTGGCTGGCGCTGTTTGTATCGCGCTGCTGAAAACTTCTATCGCCTCGTCTAATTTTCCACATTCTGCAGCTTTTACTCCATTTACCTCAAGTTCTTTAGCCGCCTCCACAATAGGCGTTAACTCTTCTTCATCTGCAAATAAATATTTTAATTCTTTAGTATTTAATCGTCAGTGCTAGTCCCATTCGCTTCCATGTCATCAATAAGTAAATTATGTTTCTTAGACAGTGGCTCCAATGCAAACAGCCGATTGTGTGTCAATTCGAAACTATTAACAATGGCACTGATTCGTAAATGTCAGATAAGAACTTAACAAATGTTAGAATACTGAGAATCAGCTGCTAATAGTTGGCAGCCGCAACTTCATTGCTTCATGACTCCGAATCACACAATCCTGGCCAAGAACCTATATTTAGGGCTCATGATCAGATGACATGGACTATGCTTGAGCTGGTACCCCTTTCCCCAAACCTCAACCAACGTGAGTGCAGACGCGACAGTTTTAAAGTGCACCTTATTGCCGATGCACTTCAGTTCCGGTTGTTTTGTAGGCTATCGGGATCGAGCTCACAACCCCCAGCTCTCCAAGCAGCCTTGTGAGCGACGTCTTAACCGACTGCGCCACCGGAGTGCTGGTCATAGCTTCATATTAACATTATTCGCGAACTCAACAAAGTGACATTGACTTATAAGAGTTTAGCAAAAACTCTACAGATGTTAGAATGTTTAAAATTGGTTGCTGAATTGTTCTAGGAATTAGCAGCAGTCGGCTCATCGCTTCGCTTTATGGCTCCACATTGATTTAATTCGTGAACTGTTTACAATGACTTTGACTCGTAAAAGTTCGACGAAAGCTTAACAGATGTTAAAACTTTTTCAGAATTAGCTGCTGAGCTGTATTACGAGTTATCAACCTTCAACTGGCGTGGAATATCTTTGGGTTCTTATTGGTCCTACTCTCTAGATTTGCTTATGAGTGATTATAATAGGATAGAAACAATAAGACTTTTCTCCTAGGTAATTTAAATACGTGTAGTACCGCAGTGGACTGATCGTAAAGACATCGAAGTCAAGCATCTGCTGTCAGTAAACGGTGGGCCCTGTGGAAGAATTTTTTCGAGCTACCTGTGACAAAACTCTGGCACTAATATCTTTCTGCCAGATACTGTTAATAATTGGCTATCGAAATGGGCTGCAGGTGGCATAGAGCAGAACTCTCTACCTATGGCAACACTTCGCATGCTTTCCAAAATAGCGTGTGGAGAGTCATAGAGGAAGGAAGTACGTTAGTTTCTCTCTTGATTTTCATATAGATTAAAATCTTTTAAGTTGGAAAACTATATGGAACTGAAAACTACATTAAACATAGTTCTAAAGAAAAGCACCACGGAAATTTTAAAAAATATTTTTATTAAATAAAAAGGGAAAATATCGTAGCACATTCCTATACAACTGAAAAGAGGAGGAGAGGAAAGGGAGAAGGGCCAAAGGCATGAAACCTGTCTCTCCCCAGATGGCGTATTCGAGCGTTGCGATCGCCAATAACAAACATGTATGTTACTAATTTAAAATAACAAGAGCGATGTGTTTACAGCAATTATATTACAATTATTCACCCTATATTTTAAATGCATTATTTAGCCATTACAGGTTCTATATTGGCCAATGTAGGCCATTCTAGGACCAATATTAAAAAATCTAGACGTCCCAATATTATTTCCTTGGTTTATGTTCTTATAGGACTCATATTGAACCAAACTGGGGTGCCCTTAAAATGGATTTTTTGAAAATAAATTTTAAAAAATTAAGAAAAATAATTATTTTAAAAAAAAAAAATTTCAAATATATATTAATAAAATACGATAATTTTTTTTTTTTATATAAGGTTAATCATATTTATTTATTACTCATTAAAATTTTATTTATTTTAATTTTAAATATGCTTTCTTAAATGAAAAGATATATAAATACATTTATATTTGAATAAATAAAAATATACGAGAATCTAAGGGCCCCAAAATTTTGAATGGCCTAGAGCCCTGCGTACGCTTAATCGGGCTCTGCTCCTCTCCATAACGAGCGGAAATAAAATAGCTCAGGAAGTGACTGATTTCCTCTTTAAGTCTATTGTTGATTACTTATTTTACAAATAAAAATGCATGAGCCGTGGTGGCTCAGGGGATAGAACGGTCGTCTCCCAATGAGGTGAACTATGTTCGAATCCCAGCGATGGCTGGTCGAATCGAATTTCGCACTCGGCTCGCACCGACCACAGTGCTAACGTAAAATATCCTCAGTGGTAAACGGATCATGGGTTAGAGTCTCCTTGCAGTCGGGTGAACCATGGGAGGATTTCGTTGTTTTCCACTCGATATAACGCAAATTTCATAATAACGTTAATTTCATCAGGTTCTTTACGAAGGCAAATTTCTCTCGATACCTGATCCGTAAGTTCCCTTGTTTGGGCTCAAAATTTCAAGGTTGCGGCTGGAGTAATCTTAAACACAAAAATCTGGTCAGCTGTTCAACGACGGTTATAAAATAAAATTAACCAATAAGTAGCCTTCTTATTTGAATACGTCACGGACACTGAAATCGCACTTTGATTTATATAATTCTATAATTTTGTGGCTTGATGCTGTAGTTAAAGATAGGTTGAACTCCGACCCAGCCCAGGGGGATTTACGAACAAAAAAAGTTAAATTATTACATTAAAAAATTACACTAAAAACTAAAATTACTCTAAAATTTTGCCAAGTGACAGTGGTGGTAATCAGTTACAAATGAATTAGCAAAAAATTTTGACAATTAAAAACATGTTTTTAAAATGAAAGCAAAAAGCGCCGGTGTAAATGTCGAGAATTAAATGATTATAATAATAAGGAAACAAGAGATGAAAATAAAATCTCAAAACTAACTAAAATCAATGAGAGCTAAAAGTCCTAAGTGTAAATGTCTAAAAGTAAAAGTCTGAATAGAAGTCGATGTGAAGTCTAAAATCACAAGTAAATAAAATTTCAAAATGTAAGTCTAAAAGTTGATCAGTATAAAATAACGATGACATGTTCTATTGTTGATTCATGACAGGGGTCAGTTGATCTGGGGCTAAAATGTCCTCGAGGGTTTGTTTTATAATTTGAATCGCAATTTTCCTGCAGGCCAATAAATAGTGCTGACGTAAAACATCCTCAGTAGTAAACTGATCATGGGTTAGTCCCCATGTCAGGTTAACCGTGCGAGGTTTTCGTGGTCTTCCTCTCCATGTAACGCAAATGCTTGTTAGTTTCATCAAAAAGTACTCCACGATAGCAAAATATCTCCCAATAATTGATCCTAGAGTACCCTTCTGGATTGGGTTCAAAATTACAAGGCTACAGCGTTGAACATTAGTAGCCATAAGCTCAAAATTAGGGTGGCTGTTCAACGACGGTTATAAAATAAAAATGTATCAGAAAATAATTTGGGTTTTTCTTTTGTTAAAATTATATTAGTTTACATCTTTACTGACTAAAGTCGAGATCGCAAATTTTTGGAAAAGGTAAGTTTTTTTATATTTATGAAAATGTTATTTCATTCAACTCGTCGTTTAGAGACCTGAGTGTGTTACCTCTCCCCTTTTCTGCATTTAATTGTTTTATAAAGTTATTATCGGCATGCAAATGAAATATTCTATTTTGCTGAAGACTGCAGAGCTAACACGCCATGAAGAATAAAATAAAAAAAAAGTTGAATAATTTTAATGCAATGAAGTAAAAAATCATGAATGTTCTATTTATCTCTGAGGAAATAAGAAGAAAGAAAACGCTTGCTGTTGCGCAATTCGTGGAAAATTTATCGTCTGTTTGATAGATTTGTAGTCTCTTTCGGACAGTGAGAAGCCGATTTGTCGAAGGAAAAATATCGTGATTTAGTATTATAGGTTTTAAAACTTAAGCCACGTAAGTTCCTAAGCCACAAAAAAGAACTTAAACACACATTTCGAACGAAAAACAAGCAGAAGTGAGAATAACAATAAACCGCAAACGAAGTGTAAACGTTAAGAAAAAAATCCTTTTATACTATCTACGAAGCAAAACTTTTAACATTACATTTTTATTATAATTATAAATCATGTTTGATCTATAAGTTAAACTTGGTAATAACTTTCAAATTTTCTATTACTATTATCATTGTTTCTTTTCCATTTTAACATTATTGTTCTCTATGCTTCAACTTTTTTTTTTGAACACTACATGACTGACATTTGACGCATTTGTTAAGAAAGTGAAGGAAAAAAAAGAAGCATAAAACCCAATATTTGCGCTGTATGTCAACTGTTAAGTTTTAAGTTATTGAAGAGTCACCTTGTAAGGGTATTTGTTCAAAATCCTGTGTTTGAAGGTTAATAAATAACGGTCAATAAATAATTAATAAATAAAAGGTTAATAAATAAAGTGTTAATAAATAATGGAGAGTGTATATTTTATTGGGAAAGTAATGTAAGAAATCGTTATTAATAGAGAAAATGTGTTACACTTTCTAAATGTCTTACACTTATATTTTTACTAAAAATTTAAGTAATCGAAATTAACACAAACGAGGGCGCCACTGGTCGAGGCGGAGGGTGGGTATATGTGCCCCCCCCCCAATAATTATAAATCAACAGTCCTAATCAATAATTCTAAAAAACAGAGAAAATTTTCATCAATCATTACCGATTTAAATTTATTGAAGTTAAATACAAGAGATTAATCTTACACATGTTTTGCGATTTTAAGAAAATTATTTTGTTATGAGTAAAATTTAGAAAACTAGCGTGACTGTCTTGTGNATTTCCCCCCCCCCCCGAAAAAATTAGACTCCTACAACGCCTTAAAACGCAAAACATGAAAATAAATATTGGACGTTCCGTAATCACGGTTTTTTTTACATTTTTTAAAAAACTTTTTCAAAAAAAGGAGGAAAAAAAAACATGATTGAGGAAGAAACGAGAACGCTGCCAAAATCTTACTGAGGAAGGCGAAATGAAAAATTTTAAAACCAGTTGCGGATTTAATTTTAGAGGTATTTTTAATACTCGCCTTTCAACTTTTCTACGTTTCTTACTATAATCAAACAAATTTTACTGTTTCAGCACCCTTTTCTCAATAGTGATTCGTTTTTGTTCTTTAAATACTAATTTGCTACCACTAATTTGTTTTACTTTATTTTTAACAAAGTTTCTAAAATTATATATCAAGAGCAGTGATTAAGGAGCATCGTATGTATAACATGGGTTTGAAATTTTCTTGGCTTGACTTCTTAAAAAGTAAATAAATAAAAATAATGAATAATTATAATAAAATGAGACGATGAAAAATTATTAATAAATGAATGAATTAATTAATAACGAGAAATAATTAATAAAACGAGAAATAATTCATTACAATTATTAACATAACTTTTTTATTCTACTGATTCTGTGTGGGGTGTCTTTATTTTAAGTAGACCCTTTATTAGGTATCCATTTCCCCATTTTACACTACCTGAGAAAAGAGTCCCTGCCACACACAACTGTTAAATGTACCACACTACAGCCTTGTAAATAAAATTTTAAAAAATTAGAACATAAACAGCATTAAATTAAGAACAAAATTTCACCCTAAAAATCCAAAATAAGCTTTTGAGAGAAGTAACTGAACACTTTAATGTTTTTCCTACGTCACCTGAATAGATGTGTCAGTTTAAATTGGTGTTTCGTGAAAAAATGACAAGTTTTATGTTTCTTCCATATCAACACTAGTACATCTACTGCTTATTATACGTAGGCCTTCTACAGCTGCTTAAAACAACTAATTAAGATTAAGAATAAACTATCGTCTGCTTTTGAGAGGCGGTAATTTTTCATTCTTTTATGAGAAGAGTTGAGCTGTCTTAATTTCCGCGTGAAACGTCCGATTGTCAAGGACCGAATTCGTGACCTCGCCGAATCCCATTAAGAATCGTATCTCTCTTCAAAGTGTAGAGTTTCGTCCAGTTTTTTTTGTTGTTTTTTTTTGTTTAATGAATTATTTTTTAGTTGTTCATCTTAAGATGGCTCTGTCTAGGTCTTAAATTTTACTGCGCAATTATCAGTAATGTTTTTGTGAGCAAAAAGCATAGAAGTGAACTGAATTATTCTTCTACAAGATACATTGTTTACTTAGTGGTATATGTTACACGTGGTTCCAATTTCTTTGATATGAGTTCTTTTCACATTAGTTGCCATGGTTACATTTCACCCATAGACACAGTTTAGGTGGATTATTTGCGTTTTTGTATAAGGATAATTACGCTCTATAAAAGCAGAGGTAAGTAAATTGCTTATTAATGTGAATATTAGTGAAAAGACCTCATTACAAAATTCTGGAAAACATAGTATGTTTAAATTGTAATTTCAAAATGCATCTGTAAATCAACAGTTTTTTTTAAACCACAGAAGGAAAAAAAAAAGCATAATTATAGTTATTTTCAGGGTTGCCCACAAGGAGGGTACTGAATCATTACAGCTGTCTTTTGGGGAGCATGCTTTTTAAAAAATATTTTATGATTTTGTAGTTTTAAAACAGTAAATTAGATTGAAGAAATTTTTTTTATTATTTAAGAGATGATAATTTGTAAAATTTAGGAGATGGTCAATAATACACAACAATACAATCATATGAAATTACAAATAAGGTAAATGCTTTTACAGTGAATTGAATGGTTTAGCTTGAGAGGAATGAGAATATTTTTTGGCGATGAGTTAGATTTCAAAATCTTTTTCAGTAGGATGCAGTTTTTTTTTGTGGGGAGCATTTGTGTTAGCCAAGTTTAATATACCGTCAACTCAAAATTTTCATAATGCACGAGCAGTACGTATGTAATCACTAATTAGTTGATTGAACTAAAACATATTAATCTTAATTTAATTTATTTGAGGGAATATTGTTTTAATCAGTTTTATTACAAATTATTGTACCCGAAAAACTTTGGATTTCTCAAAGCCTTATTTCTTTTACTTTATCTTTATTTCTTTGACTGCAGTGTTAACGAGTCTCCTTTCAAAGAAGACGGATTTCATGCATTTTGCGTACATTACCCGTTAAACTCATCAATTTTGGTAAAGCGATTAAATTCCTTGGTACCAGTTTACGAAGCATTGGAAAGTAATGCCAAACTTGATGACGTAAAGGATAAGAAAAAGATTTTCTCAAATGTTATAGAAGGGGCCGGGATAGCCTGGTCGGTAGGGCGCTGGGCCCATGTCCAAGAGGTCGTGCNTATAGAAGGGAAGAGTTAGAAGCGAAACAGAGAGATCTGTGAATTTTGAAAAGTTATATATAATCACTTCACCACTTAATCAACCAACTCTCTTGTTCCCTTGAACTTTTCCGGATTTTATAAATTATTAATATTAGCTGTTAAAAATTGTACTGCGGAGAGGGCACTAAGCAACAAAGGTAAACTGATAAAATAAAATGAAATGAAATTTAAAAAAAAAATTAAATTTAAAAAAAATAAATCTGTCATGTTTTCTTATGGGTAAGAGAAAAAAGCACTGGTAAAGCAGCTATGGGGAAAAAAACGTAAAGAAAAAATAAAGCATGAGACAAAACCAATGGAAAAAAACTGTGCCTAAATTAATTAAATAATATTTTAATTAATTAAACATAGATATGAAAGATTTTAAAATTAGTTAATATACTAAAATAAGTTATAAGTTTGCCTATACGAACTTTTCACATTTCATACTTTTCCAACTTCAAATTAATCTTTGCATATAAATAAATTAAAAAATATATCTAGTTAAATTTAAATAAATGTTTAATTCCATTAAATCGTGAATCTAAGTGTTTGCTAAACTAATATGTAACTTTAAAATAGAACAACCACTTTGTGTGTTAGTTTTGCATTGTAATTTTAAAAGATTTATTATTAAAAAATTTTTTTTCATTATTCTTTATTTACCATGTTCATTTTGTCTTCGAAAACAAAGTTTTACAAAACATTCTATACGTTGAATCTAATGAAGATAGGTGAGAGACAGTTAAATAATTGTTGCTTAAACAAAAAAAAATTGTGTTTATTTTTCTTGTTTACGAAAATGGTGGAAGAAGACTTTTTAAATTTGGGGGGAACATGTCCCCATCTACCTTGTGGGTGGAATGGACACTCCTAGTTATTTCTTAAACAATGGATGGGTGGCCTAATGTAAACAATAACAAGCGTCCTTAAACCGGAANTATACGAATAATATCATTCAAAGTAACTATTACTTTGTACTTGTACAAGGGGGGGGGTGATGGTTTATGTACATGAAAGCTGATTCTGAGGAGGGGGGAGATTGAATTTCAAATCGAAGATGTTCCGTTTTTTCTCAACACGGCCTTTCTTCACTGTGTAATAACTCTCAAGGAAACGGATTTTCAACTTTATTAATTTGTCATCAAGCTACAAAATGTAACAGAAGGCGATCCAATCGTCATTTTTGTGAAAAATGGACAAAAAAACCGTTTTCTTCCCTTGATCTTCATTTGTCTAAGTAACGCGTCTGTCAGTACAGTGTTTATATTTTTGTTATGAAATTTAATTTTGAAAAAGTCGTATTTTTTTTTTAATATTTTAATTTTTTTAGAAAACTGTTCAACCCATCTCGTTCAAATTTTGTATTTTGTAATTTACGATTGCATACTTTTAAATGATTTAAAAATTAGTGTACCTTAAAATTTAAAATTTTTCAACCATTAAGAAAAAAATCATGAAAAATAATAAATACTGTTTTAATTTTTTATTTATTCACTTATTTATTTTAAATAATTAATTAACTAATTTATTTTTTGTTGATTCATTTTTGCACGGAATTATTTTTGAATAAACGAATTTCATAATTGTGTGTAAAGAGTTTTCGATATGGTGAGGTGGTGAAATATGGTGATCCAGAAATGTTGCAAAATACGCAAAAAGTAGGATCAGTAGTAGGATCCAAAATTTTAACCATACTCCTGATTAAAGTGGTGGGATGATACTTTGCAGATTGTAGCTACTCGTTATAGCTCCTTTCAAAAATCCAAATTCGTCGGGTAAAGAAAAAAGCAAAATTCGGTGAAAGTACGCTTTTTTGTCTGATTTCGTAACGTAAGTAATAGTTAGCTTTAAATTATTAGCATATGAGCTTAACCGATTAAACCATTCATAATGGTATTTAATTAATGAAAATCCGTTTATTAAAACAAGTTTCATTCAGTGTAAGAAAAAAAAAATTTCTTTTCTTTGTACATGAAGAACATGCACATGAACTTAGTAGCTTAATGCTGTACGTAGCTCTACCTTATTACTATACATAGTTCTAATGTTATACTGATAATTCTGGTTCTAAGGAAGCTAAGTTGAAAATTTTTTTATAATAAAAAATTACACTTACAATTCTTGCACTTAAATATTACGAAATTATAAGTGAATAATTTCAAATCTATATATAAAATAAAATGTTATGTATTTTAAGTATATATTTTATCCCTTTCATAACTTTACAAAAGGATAAATAAGTTTTAAGAAATTCATCAAAATTGCTCGAAATTGTTACAAATGAAAGCAAAATAACTAAATATTCTTGTCGACTGTCATATCAAAGCTTATAATTTTTTTTTTATTTATTCATAAACTTATTCGCCAATTTACTAAAGCAACTTTTCTGATAAATGACTCATTGATTTGAGTACTCGATTTCTTTCTTTCCTCGTTTTTTCTTCCTTATTCTCTCGCTATATTAAGAGCCATTCATAGCAACGCTATTTATACTATATACATATAGATGGATTTTTGGCTATTGCTAAAGTTCTTGTCCTCTTCCTCCAGAATAATATATGTTTTTTAAAAGCAAAAAGAGCAGTAGCGACTCAGGAGATAGAGCCATCTCCTCCTAAATCAGGTGACCCGGGTTCGAATCGCAGCGATAGCTGGTCGATACCAATTCTGCACCTGACTCGCACCAACCCAAATGCTAATACAAAATATCCTCAGTGGTGGACAGATCATGGGCTAACGTCCCCTTGACGTCAGGCTATTCGTGGGCGGCTTTCGTGGTTTTCTTCTCTATGTAACGCAAATGAGGGTCAGTTCCAGCAAATCGTCCTCCACGAAGGCAATTTTCTCCCAACACTTGATACAGGAGTTCCCTTGTCTTCTGGATTGGGTTCTGAATTACAAAGATACGGATTCGAACATTGATTGTCGTAAACTGAAAATTGTGTCAGCTGTTCAACGACTGTTATAAAAAAATGTGAAAAATAAAATATAAGCGCAAAAGGAAGTATAAAGCATATTTCAGATTTAGCTGTCTTAACACTAGATTGCCCAAGGAAATCGTTTTGATTGCTTTTTAATTTTAATTAGAAAAACAATGATGACACAATTTCTTAGAATTTTGTGACTTTTTGTACAACACATAATTTTTTTTATTGTTGATATTTAATAATAACTTGTCATACAACTGTAAATAATATAAAAAATACTAAAAATTAATTTTCAACAAATTTCTTTGCACATTAGTTATTCTTTTACCATCCAGTCATTTTGACTGCTTTTGGGCAATATAGGTATACACTAAGTTTCCGTCTTTCTGGTGTTAAAAATGTCTAGTTTTTTTAAGTCATGGTAAAATGGAGAAGACTTGGCAAGTTCTACAGACATATTTCCTACAAGAATTCACAATTGTGATTAACATTGGTAAACATCCAGACATAAGTGAATTATTATCGTTCTTTTAGTGGATTATATTACCCCCTTTACGACAAAGCACTGAATTGTTTATTATGAGTTCTTGTTTCGTTGAGTGACGTAATTTCTAAGGCTGTCTTTGTTTTCACACTATTTGAACCACGATGTGATGTAATCCTGCATTTGAACTAATGAATTTCAAGGCCAGAGCATGAGAATATCCTTAAATTTTTTACGCGTTCCTATCATATTGCCGTCGTTAAATTTTTTCTACGAAATCAAGGGTCTTAAAAAATAGTTTAGTTATTCCTAATCTAAAAGCTGTTTCAAGTTTTGGACATCGAACAATTTTATCTTTTAGTTTTTATTAACTATGAAAAATTGACCAGTAGATTTTTATTTTTGTTTGAGAAGAGCTAAAATATTATTTTTATGGAAAACAAGTTTCTGCGGGGGATGGTTTAGCATGAAGCTGTCCTGTTTTATCCTGTAAAATTATCCTGTAACTTTAAAATTATCCAACAACTTAAGTTTTCAAACATTATAGTAGTTTAATATGTTTTCCCACCGATAAAAAAAATATATAAATAGGTTTTTATTTATACAGTATTTTCGGTTCTCGCTCATAAAAACACACAGGTTTAGGAATTATTTATTAATGGAACAAATTAAACTAATGAACACGTTAAACTATTTAAACAATAAAGGAAATTCACACATAAGAGGAATAAAAGATTATAGAGTTACAGTAATAGAAATATAATTTTATGCTAAAATTAATTATGATGAACATTTTTTCCTGTGTTCATTCGGGATAAAAAGAAGAAGAAAAAAGAATATTTTCCTTGCTAATGTTTAAAAAAAAAAAAAAAAAAAAAAAAAAAAAACGCACCCATCAATTTTACTTTATGTTATAACCAACGTTAAACCGTGATTCATATCGAATTTGCTGTTAGCAATGTTAAACTCGGTTGCCTAGTAAGAGTACACTTTTATCAAGCAATTTTATTTTTATATCTTATAACAGTCGTTGAACAGCTGACCCTACCATGGTTTTTCGCCTACTAATGTTCAACTCAGTAGCCTTGTAATTTTTGAACCTAATCCAGAAGACAAGAGAACTCCTGGATCAAGTATTGAGAGAAATTTGCCTTTATGTTGGACTTTTTGATAGAACTAACCCGCATTTGCGTTACATGGAGAGGAAAAACACGAAAACATCCCACGGTTAGCCTGATGGCAAGTGAACTCTAACCCATGATCCGTCTACTTATGAGGATATTTTAAGCTAGCACTGTGGTCGGTGTGAGCCGGGTGCGGAATCCGTATTGATCAGTCATCGCTGGGATTCGAAGCCGGTTAACCTCATTGGAAGGCGAGCGCTCTATCCCCTGAGCCACGACAGCCCTCGTTGAATTCGAACCCGGTTAGTTCAATTATTATAAATGAACATTAGTAGTCGTAAACCCGAAATTGGGTCGGCTGTTCAACGACGGTTATAAAATAAAATAATTCACATTCGTGTTACATTGAGATGAAAACGTTCTTCGGTTAGCCTGACGACAATTTTAGGTAAATAATCATTGAAAAAAAATCGCTTTATTCCAGATATATTCCAGCTGTGTACAATTGAATCATGTGTTTTTCAGATATCTAAAGTTTAAATTATTTCATCCATTCAAGCAGATATGGCCTTAACGGCTTACTTGAATTGTTCGAAATCTTTTTTTGTTGTTGTTGCATATTTTAACAACAGCATGGATACGAAGTATAAAACCCGACGATCATAATTAGAAATACTTACCTCTTAACTCTTCGTCTACAATGTCCTCAAAAGCACACTCTCCCAGTGGCGTTAAAGGGTTAAACACGCTGTTCAAAATAGCCATATCCTCCTTCGATGTCATGTTTGCGAATGTTATTCTGAAACTGAGTCCTCACACAACTTGCGCTGTCCGACTTTCTATCAGCATTCCTAATCTCTTAGAATTAATCAGATTAAGGATGAAGAAATTTAACAAGATGTTTCGACCGATAAACGCTTCTTCATTTATTTATTTTTTTTAGCTTTAAAGCACTTTTTTTTAAAACTTTTTTGCTTCTTAAAATGAAAAAGAGAAATTTTCCAAGAAAGGTAAAATATTATAAGCGAAATGAAATAAATAATGTTTAATGTCAGATGCAATAGTCAGAAAAACTGCAATATTTTTTGTACTACAACTACCAGAACCTTTTTTTACAATTTAATTAACTACAACTACTTTTTTTTTAATGTAGTGATTACAAATTACTTTTAAATTGCAGTAACTACTTTAAGGAGATGAACTTTGTGGAGCTAGAGAACTTAATTTATACCTATGTAAAAAATGGTATTAAATAAAAAATTATCATCTATAAATCATAATACTTATAAAGGAATAATTAAGAAATATTTATTTATGTTCTCATGAGCCAGTTTGTAATTCCAAAAACTTTTTTTTTTTCGATTTTGTTCATTTAACCTTCAACTTTTTATGGTTTTTTAGACAGCAAATATTTCATTTAAGAAATGCGAAATTATCAAATACTTAAAATTTTTTAATTGTTTAATGTTCTTTTATTTCCTCTAAGAAACGAAGTAGTACATCGAAAATAATACGTTCCTTTCCTTTTAAACAACATTAATGGTTCACGAGTGTGAATTTGCATGTGAAAGAGTGACGAAAGTGATTAATTATCTATTTTTTTTTGTAATGGTTAATTTAAATATTAGTTATACGTAATTTTGAGTACGTAATTTCTGTTAACGCTCAGCTGCAGCCACAGGGTCATTTTCATTGCACCCATTGACAAACCGGCAAAAATTTGTTCGCATCGAATTCAAAAAAGTAGTTGCGTTAGAACCGTGTTTTTTTTTCTTCCTAAACTAACATTAAAAGCAGTTGCTAGGAAACACTACAAACTACTTTTTTTTTGTATCGCACTACTCACTACGCTATTTAAAAAAAAAAAAAAAGTAGTACCCTACACTACACTACAAACTACGAAAAAAAAAGTTGCGACTACAGTAGTTTCACTACTTGTAGTGCTCTACTTCCGACCACTGGTCAGATGTCAGACTTGGCATAAGAACTATTAGCAAAACTTGGTCTCCAACTAGTCATTTTCATATCTCAAACAGGTGGTACATTCATCTCTTTAACTCTTTACAGCAGTATATATTAGCATATTAGCAATCAGTAGCATATTAGCAACTGCGACAAAAAGTAGTGCATTCTAAGCAACTTTAGCTTTTTTTCTCTCAATTTAGCTTTTGACTCAGTGCAGTGCCACGATCACCTCTGTTGTACGTATTCAACTTTACGTTTTGTTTTGCACAAAAACTATAAACACTTGGAAGATGTGTGCAGAGAAATGTACGTAGAGTAAGATGGAATGAAAAAATTAAGTTGATAATTAGTTCGAGAAATGTTAAATTTGTTGTAAAAAATACCCTGTGGTGCGCTCTGCAGCCCGCTAGAATGCAGCTGAAGAGTTGAAGTTTGACGTACTTAAAGAGTTATTTTTATTTTTTAAACTTATCAGGTGGTTTTTTTATTATTACTCATATATTTATTTGAAAGTTATGGCATTTTTAATTCTTTTTTTCTTCCCGTTTTTGATATAAAAAAAAGACTATCTATCCATTCGCGATCGCAACACTCGAATACGCCATCTGGGGAGAGACCGGTTTCATGCTTTTAGCCCTTCTCCCTTCCCTCTCCTCCTCTTTTCAGTTGTATAGGAATGTACTACGATAATTTCCGTTTTCTTAGTATTTTTCCCTTTTATTTAATAAAAATATTTTTTTAAATTTCTATGATACTTTTCTTTAGAACTATGTTTAATGCAGTTTTCAGTTCCATATAGTTTTNAAAGAATGCAGAAAGAGAGATTATACGTTACTAGAGAGAGAGAGAGTAATAATTATATATAGTTATAATAATTATATATTTTTCAACAAAGTAATTTTTTTTTCTTGAAAAATATCGACTTCAAAAGAAGAAGAAGAAGAAAAAAAGAAGAATGAGGAGGAGTCACATGGGATTGTGAGCGGAGTCTCTTAGTTGTATAAAAAAGTAGTGCTTTCTAAAAAAGTGGGCGTTTCNTTTTTTTTTTTTTTTTTTTTTTTTTTTTTTTTTTTTTTTTTTTTTTTTTGAAATAAGTGTTTCCATATTGGGTTCTTGAGAAAAAGTTAAATATAAATACCAACATTTAAAATATGCTGCTTTTGCCACCTGGACGCTAATAATGCCGCTGAAATGAGAAATATGTATGTGTAGCTCACCCCCTCTAATTCTGACAGCATCTGTAGTAACTGTTTTGCTCAGTTAGTAATAAAGACACTGACAAAACTATAAAGTGATTAAAACTCAAGTGTTAACATTGTCTGGTTTTCCTCAGGATCCATATTCAAGTATTTTTTAAGCAATAATTTAATCTTAAATTTAAACTGAAATGTAAAAATTTCCATTGCTTAGATTAAAAATTCAAATACGCTAAAGGTATTTCATCGTTGTATCTGCGTTACTTAAAAACTTGGAAGTGATTTTACACAAAAAAGATAGCGGTGTTCTTTGTGTTTACACATTTAAATCCCTTTGAACTTTGCTATCGATAGAAAGAGTTAATTTTTAAAATTAAATTAACTCAAGTTAACTTATTTATGTTCAGTATGATATATTTCATAATACTGTACATTGAATATAAATTATTAAACTTTTTACAGCATGTTTATACCTGTATAGTTGTTATTAATTATTTTGCATTTAACAGCAAGTTATATCAGCAATTATATGACTGCAGAATTTGAGTGCTGCAATCGCGAATAATGTGATAGTGAAATTTTCAAAGAAGCTTATTTCATTATAAAATTTTCTGCTTGTTAAAGGCCATGTATGTTGTATGAACAAATTAGAATAATATAGGATTAGAATAATACAGGATTAGATAGTTGTTTGTTTACATCACAATAGAGGTGTCCAAAGGGCTATTAGCGACGGCCTGGGAAACATATCTGAGTATTCGAAGACATACCATCACAATTTTGATCCTCTGCGGAAGGGATGGCTCCCATACTTTGGTTGACCAATGGCTTGTGTGCAAAGTCAAGTACTTTATGGTTGAACAGTTTAACGAGAACCGATACCACACCATCGGTTCCTTCGTGGCTTGATCAAAGTGGTCACCCACTCACAGACTGACCGCAAAAAGTGATACTGTGAATCGTGCCTTACGATCAGTCCGCTGTAGCACAAAAAAAAAGGGATTAGAATACCAGTTTTAATGTTGCAAAGACTGTTTTAATATAGCAGAGAAGCCCTGGCATTTAATTTAAATCGGTGTACTAGCTCAAAGTTCATTAAGAGCTGGGACTAATGTTCAAATGGTTAATAAAACATTATATGTATAGGACGGTAATTGAATAAATTTCAAGCGGTATTTTTTTTTTTTTTTTTTCAGAAGCACCTTTTTCAAAAAAAGGTTTCTAACAAAATTATTTCAATTAGACATTTCAAAATATATATTTAGAATAGAAAGTACACAACAAAAAATTTTGAATACAAACGGAAATTAAATGATTAAATTAAAGAAATAAGATATTTTAATCAAATTGGGGCTCAGTATTTCAATAACTCGGACCGATAACAGCGCCGCTTGCCGTTTCATTTTCAAAAAAAAAAAAAAAAAGTAAATAAGGAAATAAAAAAACTAAGCCACCCAGTTTGGTATGAAACTAGATTTTATTACTTTGTTTAAAATATGCCTCTCTCCGTTCGCTACAATATAAAAACAAAACTATCGATTTTGTTAATATAAAATTAATCGTATGTCATTCCTCACATTCTGATAAATTTTTGTGAATGACTCATGCCGATTTCAATTTGACAGCAAGGATCTGTAGAAGTGTTTGATTTTTATCGCGCATCTTACTAATATTATTATTAACCAAGTTACATCATCGTGTGAAATACTAGTCTTGATCGTTTTTTTTATATCCGGAATATCAACTGATTTTCAAAAAGTATGTATGAAGTTTTAAATCAATTGTAGCAGACAGCTCATATTTTATAAGTAAAAATTCTTTACTCGCTTTTAATTAGTTTGTTGGTTTCTAAAACAAAATTGAATACTTGTTCAGGCTGAATTTAATAAGACTAAAATTTGTGTAAACAACTGAGATTGCATGAAAATTTTAAGAATAGTTTCTTCCGCTTTTTCAAACATTTCCTTTACATGAACAATCACATAATTATTGTTTTCAATCAAACAGGAAGCATTTAACTATAAGAGAGATTTATTTCGTGTTGGGAAAATAGTTTCTATCGAACTTTTTTATTCTATAAGCCGATAGTTTAAATTTCTTCGTGGCACTTTAAATTCGTGTTGTGACAATATTTCAATTGTGTTGCAAACAATAATACTAAGTTATCAAACTATAAATATTTGAAATTTTCTTTTTTTATTCTAATATGGAATTGTTCTTTAATTATGTTGCTGGTTACGTATCAATTAGAGCTTTTTAATTGATTATTTTTCTGTGATGTATGATTTATAAAAAAATATATATTTATCACACTCTCAAAACATTCAATCCAATATATTTTTCAAAATCACTCTTTCCCAAAATTATTTTAAAGTATTATTAATGATGCTAATTTAGAAGAAATTTGCTATCTAGCTAAATGTTAAGTACTAAGTTTACACTATAGAATGTCAGTTGCTTTATCTATAAGAACATTGTTTATTAATATTTTCAACCAAGCACGATAAATATTATTAAAGTATGATTAATTTAATCATAAATATAGTTTTCTATCTGTCTTTTCTATCCTAAAAGCCAGTAATTTTAGCATTTTATTTTCATGGCATTTTAAAATGTGTAGTAATCTGATAAAATATGGTTCTTATTTACTTTTATAATGTTTGAATTTAAGAAAGAGTAATCTTTAATAAATTCGTATTTACTTACTAAAATTAAACAAAATAGTACTTTTAAAAATTATTACTGATGCTTGTCAAACATTTATTTTATGTGTAAAAACGCAAAATATTATTATTTTGTGGATATTTGTGTACTGGTATCAGTACTCGCATAGTAGATACTAAACTACTTCCAAAAATGTATATAAAAAAGCACAAATTTATCCTAGATGGCTGCTTATTATATCATTTAGGTTGGTTCCTTTCTGTGATTTTTTTTTAAAATTATATATAATTTCTCCTGGGCCACAGTTGCCAAAACTTGAGGATTATTTTATTATTTTGGCATAAATTATGGTCCAGAAATCATTCCATTATTTTCAATGTAACATTTAACGGTACTTTTCTGTTAGCTAGGTGCAATTAAATGGAACTATTTATTATTTAAATAAAAATTATTAAATAAAAAATTGTTGAATTTATCCATACCTAGCTGCTGGAAAAGTATCCATTTAAGTTAGGTGGTTAATGCCATCTAAGATGATATTTTCTTTATTTTGTTTCTATATAAGCTGATAGTTTAGAAATATTATATTAGTTGCATTTAAAATTGTGTTGGAATTTTAAAACAATTATAGGTACAGTATATTTTGTATTTATTAATTTGTATGATGGTATTGAATAACAGCTCAATTACATATAATTTTTGCATATAATACTTGTTTTTATATTATCAAGAGTTTTTAACAAAACTCTGTAACTATCTGCTTATACCTAACTTTACCTATCGCCTTGTAACTTTATCATTTGGCTTATCTGCCAGTGGCAGCTTTTAAGCTTGTTTTTACACTGCCAAAGTGAGACTGGCAGCTTTAAGGATAAAAAAGAAGGTAGCACTAAGAAAAAGGTAGCTTTTTCTTACTGTTTCTTTCTGTCAATGGATGGCATGCTAGAAAGCTGAAAATTGACTAAGGGGGGAAAGTCAATTAGTAAGTCAATGTGTTAAAGAATATGAATTTTTTGTAACATATGATAAAAAATTAAATTTATTTACCTTATTAAATTAAATGAGATTACACTTGTTTGTGTTGTAACTATCATTTTAAATTATTATTGATGCTTATTTTTACAAGTAATTAGCTTTCTAGAAAAATGAAGTAATTGACTTGTATTTCTATTTCTAAATTTGTTTTAAAAATAATATTGTTTGCATTTATTGTTTTGCTTTTGAAGGTGAATGTTTGACAATAGTTTTGTGTATAAAATCCAATTACTACATTTTCTCTTTATTTATATTTATATTCCTCTTTATTTATATTTCTCTTTATTTCATTTCCATTAAACTAATTAGCTTGCATCGTAGTATTTATTGAAGGTATTATGTATGGGAACCATTATTATGTATAATATTAAATGTCAAATTTGATTTACAGAATTTGTTCAATAAAATACATATCAGAATCAGATTAGCCCAGAGTTTTGAAAACACAGGCTTGTACAAATTTGGGGTAGCTTTATAAAACTTGTGGATTAAAAAAATAAATAAATACAAAGTATATAAAAATGCAATTTATCTAGTTTATTGTTGAATTCATCCAAAATTCAATTTCATAGAAAATTTCAAATAAAAGGTCAAATGTATAATACAATTTGTATCCACCCTTACTTGTTTGCAATACGCCTTTTACATCAGAACAGAAAGTACTCGTAAAAAAAAAAAAATCAAATTAAGTTACATTGATTCTTAGCTGCCCTTCTATTTTCCAGTAGACTATTGGATTTTGCCAGTTTCTCCTAGTCTGTTGGTTTAAGAAAAATACTCCTGGTTTTTGTACATTTTAGAAAATTCCCTGAAATTGAGTAAGTTTCCTTAAAAAATCCCTATTGAAAATATTGAAATAGAATTTTTGTGCAGATTATTGCTTGCTTGTATAGTTAAATAAGTGTCACTAATACACGAGGAAGTGAGCCTTGCTCATATAAAATTTAGTGAACTATCTTTAATGAATGAAATGCCTATTACTGTTCAAAATTATGAGTATACATAATATTTCAAGATTTTCTATTCTGATGACTAATAAAATTCCCTAAGTGTGAAATATTTGGTATATTTTGCAACAATTATCATGAAATTTATATTATTTCGTAAGGTCTACTGGATTTTTTCGTATGTGTGTTGGAAACTATGCTGATTAGTATCTAAAATTTACCCTTTGTTTGTAGGTTAAAAGAAATCATGACATCTAATCAAGACATGTTAGTTAGAGACATGGGTCACCTGCAAATCTCAAACTATGCTCCTCAGCAGTATTCTCCTGGAAGTAAAAAAGTAGCTCCCGTCGTTCCACCCAAACCAAAATCAGAAATGTATGGATCTATAACACCCAAGACAAATGGGATGTATCACACGTCTATGCATCCACCTCCTCAGGCAGCTTCTAGTGTAAATACATCAAATATGAGTAAGAAATAATTTTTGAATCATAGATGATTTTTAATTTATTAGTTTAGCAATTATATATTGGAAAATATGTAGTCTATGCTCGTGTGACCGATAGGCGTAGCAGAATTTTCAGGGTGAATCTGCAGCATTATCTTCATGAATCAAAATTTGTCTGCAACCTCAATGCAGTCCCTTTATAGATTATTATTGTGAAAATTTAGCCCAATCTCAGCAAACTTTGCAAACATAAAATATTTAAAAATGATACATAAAATCTTTATGTTGTGCAAGTTTTAAGTTGAATATTATTATTGAAATTTAAATTAAGTTATACAATGATTGTAAAAAAAATAGAATAAAACCCTATGTATAGAACTTTGTATAATCAAGTAATAGAAAAGAATAATTTACTTGCATTCTCTGAATTAATTTTTTAAATTTTTATTCAAAGCAAGTTGGAAAGGTATTTTAACATTTTTAAAATTTTCTATTTGTTTATTTGCTTTTAAAAATGAAAAGAAAAGTTATATGAAAAACATTCTGGGGAAGATATATAATATGCAGTGCTATATCTTTTTGTATATCCTTTGCATATCTAGTGCATGTATCCTTTTGCTACCTTGGTAATCATTATATGTGAGTAACAAGCCATTTAAAAGATAACTTGTATCAACCAGATATCTTCTTTTAATTTGCAGAACTCCTTTTATCTCAAGACCATTGAACTTTTGACAAAATTTTCTCGGAGTTCTGATAATTTAAAATTTAAATTTCATTACCAAAAGATTTAGACCGTTTATATCGGCTCCCTCTTTTGTTCTTCTTAAAATTCCATTCTTGCCCGATAATTATTTAAAATTTTTTTTTTTTTACACAAATGTGTTAGAGAAAAATACAACTTTGGATAGCCTTTGAGAAAACAAAAGAGAAAAAAAAAATCATAACTTCAGCTAGAATTAATGAAATACTGAGGCAAACAGAAACACACCGATAATCTAAAAAGTAATTCCTAAATGGCTCGAAAAAACTGTTTTTTTTTAGTTCTAGTTTTGTTTTTTTAAAACTGTTTTTCTTTTTTTAAAGTTAGGTATTAATTATAGAAATTTTGTTGTAATTCCAATTTGTAGCAGAAAAATGGTTTAATCAATGTGGTATATTTGTCCCTTTTTTTATTTTACTTCTATTAGATCAAGTTAATTTTTAATATGATATTACGATGTAGAAATTTCATATCTTCCATTTCAATGAGCTCAATACTATCTTAAATTTGTGCTAATCTTTTTTTCTTTTGCGGTTAATGGAATTGATTTTCTCATGCTTTTTTAAATTCCAATATTATTACAACATGCAAAATTTTAATCGCAAATTTTAGTAGTGACTTTTTGATTTGTGTCTTTATCATCGTAAATTCATGGGGCTGTTCCATTTTTTTTATCGGCTATTATTGCTACAATTTTTCTCATTATCTTTTTTTTAAATATCTGTATTTTTTATACATTATTAGTATGACATGCAAAATTCAATTAGTGCATTTAGTAGTGACTTCTCTCTCAATGATCCCACTTTTTTTTCCGATCAATTATTTCACACTTTTTGTAACTGATAACCACATGGTTTTTTAAATCTCGATATTTTTAATAAAATTTATAATATGTATAATAATCTGAAAAATATTTTTTAGCTTATTATACATGAATGAATATTTTTATTTATAGCATTGCATTTAAATATTCAATTTTTATTACAGCAATTAAATTTTTACAGCATTATTTTTAAATGATTCTAATGAATGCTTTTAAATGAAATTTTACTTGACTATGTTCAGCTAGGTTTGAAAAAATTTGTATGTGTAAATGGTAAGTATAAATAGCATTTAATATTTTCTTCATGTCATATTTTGTGAATGTCATAGTGTCAAATTTGACTGCTAAAAAGGTAGCTTGACACATTACCAGTATCTAGACATGCCTTTATTTGTAAAGAAAAACGAAAATGTCATTTTTGTTAACCCCTTCCTTCTCCCTCCCGTGAAAATGATGGGGTGAGGTTTCGTCCTCTCTCTCGTGAAATCTTCGGGCTGGAGTGTTCAGTAGTAATGCGCGATAAGAATAAAACTAATTCATTTCTTTTGCCCGGAAAACATTTTATTTCTCATTTTACATGCCAAATGGCAGTATCAGAATATTTTTAAGGTAATTGTAGATAGTTAGTTTATTTTAAACTAGATGTCAGCACTAATCTAATACATGTATTTGGCAAAATAGGCATTTTTATGACCGTTTTCTTGAAAATTAACCGATTGTTAAGGAATTAATATCAAATCTCCTAAAATATACCAATTTATTGAACTGAATTTCATAATATCTTCTTGTTCAAAGGTTAAAATAAAATGTACAACTAGCATTCCTAATGTGAGCCTAATTGATTATATTTGTTTCAGGTGATCCAATTTATAGCAATTACCTACCAGATGATGATTTACCACCTCCTCCACCACCTCCACCTCAAGTTTCTTATTCTCCACCTCCTTCACAGCAGTATCCTCCTCCACCTCCAGATAACCTTCCAGCTCCTTCATCCCCAGGGAGCTCTACTTACGGAACACAAGCCTATTCATCTTACAGGCCTAATTCTTCAGTTGTATGTATAATTATGTTTTTTACAATGAAACAAGTGTAAATTGACCACTTGTGTATTGCCAAGTCTCCTGTTTTTTAACGAAGACTCCCGTATCTTATGATTATCTCCTGTTTAACCATATATTCTCAAATTTTTATATATTTGTTGAAGTGGCGATAAACTATTCACTAATGGCAAAAATACTTCTCTTATTCCTCAACAGATGGTGCTCTTGTTAGTACTGCAGTATATTGAGTGTTAATAGTTTAATTATAGCTCTGATGGCTCAGGTGATAGAGCGTTCACCTTCCAATGAGGTGAACTGGGTTCGATCCACGCGATGGCGTGTTGATATGAATCTGCATCCGGGCTGCACTGACCACAGTGCTGACATGAAATATCCTCAGTGGTAGACGGATCATGGGTTAGAGTCCCTTTGCCGTCGTGCTAACCGTTGGAAGTTCTCGTGGTCTTCCTTTCCATGTAACTCAAATGTGGGATAGTTCCATGAAAAAAGTCCTCCATGAAGGCCGATTTCTCCCAATACTTGGTCCAGGAGTTCCTTTGTCTTCTGGATTGGGTTCAAAGTTACAAGGATACAGAGTTGAATATTAGTAGTTGTAAACCTAAAAATTAGGTCGACTGTTCAACGACGGTTATAAAATTAAAATAAAATAGTTTAATTATAAATAATGGTTTGAAAAAAATCTTTTTTAGATCAAGATTTATATACCTATTATTTTTTACTTCGCTGAATGTAAGTGCTTATATTATTATCAATTTGTAATTTCTCTTTTTGATTAACATGATTATGCATGATGTATCAAAACTTAACTCTAATAGTAAATTTTCTGTTATTTTATTTCTCCAAATTTGGCAGGTATGCATTGCTTCAGTGAATTTAGATAAATGGTCAATGTGTAGAGATTGACCATTTTGTGTAGGAATTGACCAATGTGTAGGGATATATTGAATCCACTTATCACACATTTAACAATGGGAGCACAAACATCATCTTAGAAAACTTTATTGGTTTAATTGCTAGTAAAAACATGATCTAGGCAGTTAATTCCAATTCTTTTACATTTTAAAAGATGATACATATAAGGTTTCATCAGGGGCTGTTTTCAATCTGTTATAATATTTATTTTTTATTTTCAAATTCAATTAAATTTTTAAAGTGGCTTTGTAAGAGGGTTAAAAACAAAAATGTATTTGCTCCACCAAGTGCTTAAGATGATTATAAAGTTGTCATGAAATATCAATGAACATAAAAAAATTATCTTATTTTTTATAGTTTCAAACTTTGAAATGATACTATCAAATATTAAGCTGCAAATACACATTATGACAGATGTAATTTTTTTAAACCTTCCAGATGAAATCCTCAAAAATGAATTTGTAACAATTTTTTTCTTCTTAAAATAGAAAACATTGTGGCTGCTTCGAAGAAAGTAGATTATTTTATACTTCATGGCATTTTTTAAAAACTCATACTAATTAGATTTCTCTTTGTTTCATAATGTTTACTTTCTGTGAATAGATTTCTTATAAAGTATATCATTAGCAAGTCTCTCGAAGAAGAGTTTTAAATTATTGCAGATAGAAAAATTATGTTACTATCCCTGTTAATTACAAAAAAAATGCTCATAAATTCAGATTTTTTAAATGTCTTTTCTGTTAGACCTATGATTTTAAGTTTGCTACAACCATAAATATCTGGTATAAAATTCAATGATTAAGTTTAAGTTCTTTGTCAAAAACTAGTTATTTTATCATGATCATGTGAAGTCTTTGAAAATTATTTTGCATTTTGTTAATGTATATAGAGCTTAAAATCAGTTTTTGAGTGCTTAAAAAGTACTTAAAAGGTGCTTATTTTTTGTTGAATGATTTGGCTACGTGCCCTGATTATGTAGAATGTTATTCCTTCCTTTCTCCCTCAATGGCATGATAGTGTCTGTGTGTTGGCTTTCCTTAGAACTTTATTCGAAGCTGCTCTATCCCTAGCCTTGGCTTTCCATTCGGTTACTTGCTGGCTACTCCAGTTAGATGATGAAGTCTCTTTCCAGGCAATCTATCCGAATCTTGGACAACCTCTTTTTCGTGTGGTTTGGCTAATAAAACTTTTTTCGTCACGCTAGCCTGGCATTCTGATAATGTGACCAGCACATTTCAATGTTTGGATATTGATAAAATTCATCAAATCACAGTCTTTGTAAATTTTGTTTTATGCCTTTGTAAAATTATGAAAATTTTATATATGTGTCCCCCATTGGACTATACCATCCTAGCAGCTGTGATTTTATTTTAACTTGTTAAATATGTAACATAGTAGTGCCTTGGTACCCAAAGTTTTAAGGTTAATTGTTATACATCATTTTAAAAATTCGTGAAAAAGTGGGCACTTTATCAGCTGTATTATTTTAGTGACTATTTATCTAATAAAAATACTTGTTTCAACTGCATTTTTATGAGATGACAAATCTAATATAAGTGGCCTCTTTCTTAGAAACTTCATTTCCATTATTTAAAGTTTGTAAAAAAGTGTGTCAAATGCACATATTCACTTAAGTTCTTTTAGTTTCAAAAGTTAAATTAATGAGCTATAAGCTCTATAAAGGAAAGAGATGTATTTTCATCTATTCAATCTATATGATCTCCTTGTAAGTATAAAAAAACAATTTAGATTATTTGATTGGAAGTGTTGAATTTTTTTCTCTAATGTTCTTTACTAAGCAAAATGCGTATGTAGAATTTTTAAAGCTCACATTGCATCCGTCAAATATAATTATTTTAACTAACTTTAACATTACTTATAAGTGATTTCAGAAACATCCTTTTTGTAATAAATTTGAACATTCTGCCCAAAGCCCACTTTATGTTAATTGTAATATGTATATGTTAATTGTAATTGTAATATAATTAACAATTGTTATGGTAATATTCAGCAGTGAGAATAATGATTTTTTTTAATCCTATATTGTTTCAGAGTTCCTATGATACTAGTTCAATTTATGAGCCTATCACTCCACGACCTCCCAGTCAAATGAGCAATCGTTCCAATTACAGTATGGGTAGCGGTAGTACTTCTTTATATTCCTCGTATTATCCGGCTTCGGGTCGTGGTAAAGGTGCACCCAATAGACCGGGTGGTAAAGAGGTAGCTGAGGTGGACAGACTTACTGATTTGATGGTTCAGAGCATGGAAAACTCAAGTGATCCAGAATTTTATGGTAGATATACTGTCTCATGTATTTCTTGTAATAAGTTAGAATTCAATAGTTTTTATTTAAAGCTCTGTCTTGCATGCTTGCCAAGTCCTGTATTTTACAACTCTCTTCTATTTACCCGTATGTAATCAAATTTTTCTGTGTTTGTTGAAGAAATTTAAAAGAAAGTAATAGTTTGGTGATAAAATATCTACTGACGGCAAAAATACTTCTCTTATTCCTCAACAGATAGTGCTATCACCAGTACTGCAGTATGTTGAGCGTTAATAGTTTAAGTCGAGCATGGATGGCTCTGGGGATAGAGCCTTCGCCTTCCAATAAGGTGAATTGGGTTCAAATCCTAGCGATGACTGCTTGATGTGAATTCCACATCCGGCTTGCACCGAACAGAGTGCTCAAGTGAAATATCCTCAGTGGTAGACAGATCACGGGTTAGAGTTCCTTAAGAGAGAGTCAGGCTAACTATGGAAGGTTCTCATGGTTTTCCTCTTCATGTTACTCAAATACGAGTTAGTTCCATCAAAAAGTCCTCCGAGATAGGCAAATTGTCTCCTGGATTGGGTTCAAAATGACAAGGCTACAAAGTTGCACATTAGTAGTCATAAACCCAAAATTGAGTTGGCTGTTCAACGACGGTTATAAAACAAAATAGTTTAATAATTATAAATAATAGGTTTTTTTTTAAAAAGATCTTCTTTAGATTAAGATTTATATACACATTTTTTACTTACTAGCTAAATATAAGTGCTTATATTATTTTCAATTTTGAGTTTCTCTTTTTGACTTACACAATAATGCACAACGTATCAAAACTTTACGCGTAGAATGAAAAATGTCACTAGTAAAATCTCCATTATTTTATTTTGCCAATCTTGGCAGGTTTTTTCTTGGATAATTTCTTTTTAATGTAAAAATATACCTTTTTTTTGGACAAACTGATTTGATTCTATTTTACCAAAATTTTTGATGTTAAATTAAATAAAACATGTTCAGATGCTTTTTTATGTTAATTATTCACTATTCAAGATCTATTCAAAGTGAAAATTTTCATAATTCAATCTTAATTCAGGTGTAATAATAATGCATTTAATTTGAAATTGTTGTATTAATATGTACATATTCAGAAAAAAATATTTTAATGTTTTATGTTCTTGAATGAAATATATATGATAAAGATAACAAAGTAATAGTTAGAATTTTTTTTCCATTCAGAGTTCCCATGCTACTTGATGTAGGAATTGACCAATGTGTNATAATGACTTTTTTTAATCCTATATTGTTTCAGAGTTCCTATGATACTAGTTCAATTTATGAGCCTATCACTCCACGACCTCCCAGTCAAATGAGCAATCGTTCCAATTACAGTATGGGTAGCGGTAGTACTTCTTTGTATTCCTCGTATTATCCAGCTTCGGGTCGTGGTAAAGGTGCACCCAATAGACCGGGAGGTAAGGAGGTAGCTGAGGTAGACAGACTTACTGATTTGATGGTTCAGAGCATGGAAAACTCAAGTGATCCAGAATTTTATGGTAGATATACTGTCTTACGTATATCTTTTAATAATAAGTTAGAATTCAATGGATTTTTTTTAAAAGCTCTGTCTTCTTGGATAATTTTTTTTTAAATGTAAAAATATACTTTTTTTTTTGGACAAAATGATTTGATTCGCCTCTGCATTTTTACCGAAGTTTTTGATGTTAAATTAAATAACGCATATCCAGATACTTTTTTATGCTAATTATTCACTATTCGAAATCTGTTCAAAGTGAAAATTTTCGTAATTCAATCTTATTTCAGGTGTAATAATAATACATTTAATTAAAAATTGTTGTATTAATATGTACGTATTCAGAAAAAAATATTTTAATGTTTTGTGTTCTTAAATTAAATATATATGAGAAAGATAAGGAAATAATTTAATAATTAGAATTTTTTTTCCATACAGAGTTCTCATGTTACTTGAAAAACTTTAAAAGTCTTTGAATTCTGTTGGAGAAAATCAGGAAATTGCAATTTGTCTTCCTTTGAATATTCTCAACTATAAACATACTTGAATTACATTTGAAAAGCAGTTCTTGTAAATTTCCTTGACTAAAATCTACTTTTATTTTTGCCATAACTATGAGCGAAGGAGGAAATTTATCTTTTTCCTGTCACATAATTACAAAATAATTTAAATTTTGAAAGAACTAATTTAAAATATTGTCACATAGCATATTTTCATTATTTTATAAAATTCAAAACAGTTAGCAATAGCTTATAGTGACAAATGCAACAACTGAGATAAATATACCTATGTTATCCATAGCCTTCAGTAAAGCAAGCAATTTGATTCCTGAAAAATGGGTAGTTTATACAATTTAACTTTCTGTATTTTTTTCTCATCTAATATTTCTTTTTCATTTTCTTTAATATTCAGCTTGTGTGCATATTTCAGATAAATAATATTTCACATATTAGCTATTTTTATCATCATTAATGTTAATTTTTTTTAAAATTCTTATCTTAAAAGCACCAAACTGAACTAAATAATTTCCTTGTATACAATGTTTTGAAAAACATACTTTGTTTTTATTCTCATGCTTTCAATAGAAGAGGAGGAGGAAGAAGAAATACCTGTTATAGGTAAATGATAATGCTAAGTGATAATAAAGGAATTTTTGTATATTTTTTTGCTGATTTGTTTTCATCATTTCTGTTAGCATGTTAACATTCAAATTCAATGTATGTATTTTAGCTCTGTTTTTGTTAATATTGTTAGTTCCACAATCCACATTAGTTCCAAGTTTCCATGTAATGTCTCTTTTACATCAGATTTAGTTTATTACACTAATTGATCAACTTACCTGGAATAACTTGATGTTATTAATAAACAGCTCTATCACCACTTAACTTTAAATTTAAAGTATGCCTCAATATAGTTTTACATGGATCTTACAAAGATCCAAAAAAGTGGCCAAACATAACTAATTTCAATAATTGCTTATCTCCACGACCACCTGTACATATTATTTATTTATTAATTTTTTTGGTAGATATATGTACCTCTTTTCTTTGGTAAACATACTACACCAATGTTGATTTCTTTTAATATTTATTCAGCTTATTACTGCAAATTCTTTAATAAAAAGGATTCCGCATTGAGGGTATTTGAGTTTGGCCATTACAGATGCAGTTACATTAGCAAACATATTGTGAAAAAGCCTTGTGTTCTGCTTCTTATTTAGGTTCTCTGAAAAGGAATTGGTTACAAGAAAATCTTAAACCTAATTGAACGTCATGAAAAAGGGAAAATTTAACCATCTCAATTCATTTTTACAGATGAGGCCTTACAGATTACAAGGGATTTTTTGTTATTTCCTTAATGAATCTATTTCCAAGAATTATTATCCATTAACTTCAGAATATAATCTTTTAATTGGAATATTCGGCTCTTTGTTAGAGAACGATTTCTATATCTATCTTAAAATTAATCCAAGAATCTATTTTAAGCTATGAATTTTTAATATTAGTTATCAAAAATTTTTTTTTTCAAATATTTTAAAAATATATATAAAAGGCAAGGATTTTATTACTTCTTTCCTATTTTTAAAGCTTCTTATGACACATTAATTTTGCTATCTTCTTAATGTTAATTCCTTTAACATTTTGTGATAAAAGTAATGCTGACTTATTGATATTTCGCTGCTGCTGACTTACTGATTTTTGAAGTCAGTTTATTTATTGGTAAGAATATGCTTATCAGAATTCTTTTTCTGATTTTTGCTTTTCTTTACAGGTATGTGTTATAAATGTGGTGAAAAAGTATTGGGTGAGGGTAGTGGTTGTACCGCAATGGAACATGTCTACCACATAGCTTGCTTTACATGTCATGTATGCTGTAAGTGTTTTATTACCTTCTTAATTTTATTACCCTTTAATTTATATACGCTGTTATGTATAAATATGCTTAAATTCATAAAATCAAACTTTTCTTGCAAGTTTAAAAAAATATCATTTAAGACTTGTGAGTGGTGATTATCAAAATACTAAGTGTAAGTCACTTAGCGCGTGCAACGGGTAAAATGAATATCTTAGCAAAAGTTAGTTTTCTGAAGCAAAATGAATATGTTAGTATTCTATTTATTGAATTCAATCAAAAGCAATGAAAACAAAATATGCTTGAAATCTCTACTGCTATTCATTTGAACTACTGTGAACTACAGTGAACATTGTTATGAAATTACAATAGTTTAGAAGGTAATTGAATGCTCTGAATATAGTAAACTCTTTTTAACTATACAAAATTAGTATAAACTAAATTATGCAATTATAAAAAAAAGTCATTTTTAAATACCATAGAGTTACATTATGTGAAGCATTTAAAAAATAATAAAGCAAAACTATATAAATTTATTTAGTTATAGTAGATTTTATGTCACTATTAAAAAGATGTTCTTACTTATAGACTTTTCGTATTTATTTTAAATATTTTTGGATAACTTAATTATACTAAGTTGGTATTCTATTATTTTTCTATGCTATAAGTGTAGTTAATGTAGAATTGAAACTTTATTTCATGGCTTGTAAATATATGAATGCAGCCCTATGAACAAATAAAATTTTTGAAGTAAAAACAAGTATTATAACCACACAAGTAGGAAAATAATTATATCTTGATTACAGCTGCATTGAAATTACTTTTTGCATTAATTAAATAAATTATGCATGGTTCAGTGCAAGAATTTATGTCTATGTCTTATGACTATTCAATGCAAGAATTAATTTACATTGAATCTATTTTATTTTTTACATGAAAGCTTGACAACTTTAAGGAACATATAAAACATATAATTAAGTTTCCAAAAGCATACCTTATCACTGTCTGTATGCAGGAAAAAATTATCTTAAAATTATAGTTAAATTTCTTTTGAATTAACATCCATATTTTTGTTTGTGTTTTATTGTTTTTTTATTTTAAAATTTTTTTTCCTCTTTTTTTAGACAAAGAACTAAGAGGAAAACCCTTTTATGCTAAAGATGGAAAACCTTTTTGTGAAGATGATTATTTGGTATTTAATTTTTTCTTTTACATACAATCTATTTCTTAATATTTTTCTCAAACAATAATTGTTATTTATTAAGAGGAACTGTTACTTATACAGAATTTTAACTTTCATTTATTGTCTTAAAAATAAGTGTGGACTGATATTGTGTGATTAATGACATTTTTAAATGAGAATAAGCTTATCATAATAAATAAATACTATTTAGTGAGCTTTTGATTATTCACATTATTGGTAGTGCAACATCAGAGAACGNCTTATACAGAATTTTAACTTTCATTTATTGTCTTAAAAATAAGTGTGGAGTGACATTTTTAAATGAGAATAAACTTATCATAATAAATAAATACTATTTAGTGAGCTTTTGATTATTCACATTATTGGTAGTGCAACATCAGTGAACGAATGATTTAGGGGAATTCACATATTTATGAGAGGACGTAAATGAAAATACTTTCTAGCCATTTTTATTTCATTTAATGCTGATTTTTCTAACTTGCATATAATTTTTTATTAAGCTAGTGTGACCAAAAACAAATAGAAATGGTGCTTGTAGAGATAGTTTATATTTGTAAAAAAATATTCATTGTCAAGTATTTTTAAACTATTGAATTGTTGGTTTAATTTAAACTTTAATTATATTTTTGAAAATGCATTCTTTGTTGATTTCAAAAAAAAAAAGTTTGTTTTTATTCAGTACATATTATTACTGAAATAAAATTCAGTAGCACAATTTCTCATTACACATTACCAACTTTTTTACTTACATGCTTATCATATTCTTACTTAATTGTTTATTATTGTTATAAAAAGTCCATAAATAGACCAAAAGTAACATAAAATTAGTAAGAAAATCAAATTGGAGTTGTTAGTTTTAAACTTGTTATAGTTCTCTATTAGTTTAGATTTTCCTATCGTAGCCAAGGTGTAATAATTAAAAGCTAATTTTTTTAGCCTGAAATAAAATTTAAATCAAATAATAGCAAATTAACCCTTTAATTACCAAAAATTATCGAAAATTTGTAAAGCTTTATTTTTTTTTTGTCTGATTAAATAAAGTCTATTATACACTTTGAAAAATATTTTTATACTATTCGATATTATTATTTTCCAATTTTTCATAAAATTTTAATTTAGGACTTACCCAACATTATAAAATATTAATTAATGTTAATCATTTAATACTTTGTTTTATAACTAGTTAAAAATTCCAAGAAAAAAAGTATGAAAGACTTGCTTGCAAAATTGATCGAGATAGAAAATTGAGGGACACAAAATAGAGTCCTTGAATGAAATATCAACAACTAAATAATTTTATAAGTGATGTTCAACTTCAAATAATCATGTGTTGTAATAATAAAGGGAAATTATTATTACAGGGACAAACAAATTCTGATTTGATATTTTGTTCCGTTTCAATGCTGTATGGAAATAATATTAGTGGGACTACTAAGTCTTGTCAGTACTTAAAGAATTATATTATCTAAATTTGATGAATGTTGAAAGAAAATGTTGAATTTTGGGAGTCTAGTTAGCTGTAACCCCATCCCAAGTATCTGATCAAGAACAGTGGCTAATTAATGGATCACCTAATACTTATTTTTTCTCCTTTAGCAATATCTATAAAATATATTTCAAACATATTAAAATTTATTTCATTAAGTTGGTATTCTGCTTGTAATAACATGGTTTCTATGGACTTTTTTATCCATTAAATCATTTATTAGAAATTTACTCATTTAACCTAAGATCTTGTTAAGTTCAGGCTTATAGTAAACAAGTTTGACTATTTATATATTTCTTTTATAACATTCTTAAGGAAAAAAATACTTATCTGAATTATCTGCGAAAATTTTAAAACTTAAATTATTTTAAGATTTTAAAATTTAAAGCAAGGTTCTGCACAAAGCGTATAAATATTAAAAAATTTTCAAAGGAAATAAATCATGCAATCAAGAACTTATATTTCCGGAACAATTGAAGAAAAATCTTAGTTCCTTTGTAACAGAGTGATATGTAATGTGAAAATTTACAACATGGGAATATTTTTTTCCCCATTTAGATCTATATAAACATTCCACAGCTAAACTTACAATACTGAACTAAGAATGAGGATATTTGAGTTAAAGAAAACATTCATTCAGAGAAAAAAAAAAATGCACAAATCAAGATTTGCAACTGTGGCAGAATATTAGTCATTTCCGTTTTCTCCCTGAAGTTATTAAAATGAGTATTATTTCAATAAAATAATAAGCAAATTTTCAAAATAAATTAATTTAAATTTCATAATATACCTATTCTCATATTTGTTAGAGTTATACAATTTGTTCATTAATCCTCTTAAGATGCCTTTTTTGAAAAATGTCTTAAGAATTTTTTATCTCTTTAAAGTGCACACATAAAATGTTATAAATTCTAAAATAAGACACTTTTTCCTAATGGTTTTACTGAATATATAATAAATTGATACCATAGTCCATAAAAACAATATCTAAAAAATTAAAGTAGTAAAGGGAACACATTTTTACTAGTTTAAACTACCCCAAAAGTTGAGATACAAATGACGATATTTATTCTGAGAAAATAAGCACAAAATTTAATGATTGATTTGATTAACCATTTATTTAATCAGAGTTTTTTCAATTGAAAGGACAAGATCATGCATGTTTCCTAAATCAATATTCATACTTTTTTAATGACCTCTTTTGGTTTCAGTACCAATGAGTACTGCTTCCTGTTCTCACATGCAGCTCCTAATATGATTACCAAAACATTTTTTGCAAATTTAGACCAGGTCATAAAGATAGCTTAAAACTGCAATATATTTTAGCTCTTAGACATTATTTTATAGATGTAGATTTATGTATTGTCTTGCTTGTATTCATCATTTAGTCTCTTTCTTAGCTTATGCGATTTGCTTGTCCTATTACATTTAGATTACATTGTTTAGAGCCGTATGAATTCATTTGTGGACCTAAACTTTTCTTTCTCACTAATTATTAATTATAATAGCTATCTATGTAATTTAAGAGTAAGAAATTTAGGCCATCTTGCACTTTTTGCTTTATCCGGTTTCATAAGTTTGATAACCAATACAAATTAGATCTTTTAAAACAATGTGGCCTATTTGATTTTTGAGAGTCTCACAGTTTCTTACAACATAATTACGGTTTGTAATTCTTACCATGGGCTGAAAATGTTTATCTATCTTACTTTGATAGACTTTGTTAGGCTAAGATTTTTGTAATAGACTTATTTTCGAATTTTATCTTCTTAATTCTAAAAATTTCTTCATGCATTAACTGTTCTGGCTTTTGTATTGTGGAAATTTAAAAGGAATCATAATGACAGCTGAATATGTGACAACTTTCTAATTTAGCACTATTTGTTAAAAATCTGAATTTACGTACTTTTGAGTCTAAATTTTTGAGGCAAGTAAAATTTGAATATTTTAACTGTAGCATTTTTTTAACTTCAAATCTTGTCATGTATATTTATTATAATTGCAGTAAAATGATTGGGGAATTTTTTTTTATTATTATGAATAAGAAAATTTATGATAATGATAAGTATGGTTAATTATAATGATGTAGAATTTAGAGTGTTTCTAAATTTTGTTGCACACTATATCATTACTTCTCTCTGAATTTTTTTTTAATTAAAATTTATTTTTTATTTTCCAGAACACATTAGAAAAATGCTGTGTTTGTGGAGGCAGAATTCTTGATCGTGTAAGTAAATATTTGTATATAATGTTGATTATTTGATGTGAACTGAAATTAGTAATATTTCAAGAAACTTTAGGTTCAAAACAATCAAGTTAAATCTAAATTTATATATGTTGATTGAAAAACAGTTGGATGTTTAATTTAGTAAATAGTTTTGTTCGAAATTTATTAATTAAATTTACAATTTTAACTTGGGTATTTAGTATGTCCTTATCATGTACTATTAAAATTTTGTCAAAATATATGCATTTTATGTAATAGTGTTAATCATGTTTTTATGTTAATATTAAACAATTAGTGTGAATAATTTTACTCGACTTTTTTTTTTAACTGAAATTGTTTCATTATATTTTGATAGGTGATACTTATTTCGTCGATAATACAATACAAATAAGTTAATTCAATAAAATAAACATTCTGCATTTTTTATGTCACTAAATTATGTTTGTGCCGCATTAAAGCTTATTAATCTTAGGATTGTATATTACATATTTACAATAATGATTGTTAAAATAAAATTGATTTTTAGATATTACGAGCTACAGGAAAACCATTCCATCCTAGTTGTTTCACCTGTGTGGTTTGTGGAAAATGTTTAGATGGTATTCCATTTACAGTGGATGCTACCAATCAAATTTACTGTATAGATGATTTTCACAAGTGAGTATTTTCTATTCATATCTCAGTGTTGCTTTATAACTGTTAATTCATGCATAAAAATTATTATAATTTATTTCCTTCTGATCATTAATAACTTAAAAAATGATTCATCTCCATTTATTAAATAATTTAAGCAAATTTTTTTTTCTACCTCTCTTTAAAGAAGTATTTTTTGTTTTTGAATAGACTTCTTAAATGATAACAATTTAAAAAATTTTTATTTTATAAATTGAATTCATATTTATCTTGAGCTTTTTGTAACTTTAGTTAAATTTTTTTGTCTTCATTTGTTTGATTTTATTTCCCTCTGTTGAATAGCAAATTTCTAAGTATGAAATAGTAAACTCTTTATGCCACACAAAGCTCTTTCTGCTAAGTGCAAGTTATCTTGCATGCAATAAATGGATGAAATTTTTTTTAACTATGTTAGAAATTAAATATTATAGAAATTAAATTTGTTAGAAATTACATTTTTAATATCAAATAAAATTCTTATAAGACCTTTGTAAGGAATTTAGAACATGGTCCTTTATCTATCTGACTTTTGATATACTGTTGCAATTAAAATATTGTAGAGGTAGAAAAAAGGTCTTTTAATTCTATTTCATTAAAGTATTAATACACTACTTTTTATACTACTGGAAATATATTTTCTGAAACTACAGAAATTTTTTGTTGAATTCTTATTAAATCTGCACCAGTTGCATTATACCATTAGTAGGCATTATCAAAATTTATTATGTGTCATCTATGTATGGCGATTTTCTATGGTTCCTGTAAATGAATAAGTAGCTTTTCACCATTAGCTTTGCTTTTGAGTGCATAGGCTATTTTTTTTATTTCAATTAATGCATATTACCAACATTAATTAATCATCATTGGTGCCAATAGTAGTTTGGATTTTCTTACGTTTTTCCTAAATGAGTAAGTATACCTTTATTTCATAAATTTTGAGTTGTAGTACATCTTATAAATATATATATTTACTATACATATATTAATTAAATTAAAATCGCCATACTATTATTGAGACCAACAATGCTTGATTATGTTTCTCCGAAACAATTTAATACCACTTTCCCATTAATTTTGCATTTCAATACCTAGTTACTTTTTTTCTTTTAATTACTCTTTATAAAAACATGTTTTAAAAGAATTCTATTAACAAAATACTAATTTGGTGATGTAGTCCTTTTTTTAGTATATAGCTTATTATTTTACTTCAATTGGTAAACACAACAAAAATTAATTATCAGTGGCATCAATAATAATACTGGCATTCTAATCAATACATTACCATCCATTAATTTTGCTTTTCAGCTAACGAAACTTTTTTTTATATCAACTGCCGTTAATTTAAAATTATCTAGTTTGATAGTAACACTTTTAAAACCATAGCTATAACCAAAATAAATATTTGGTTTTAGATAACCTTAGAAATACTAATTTGGTGACACAGTTTGCCCGTATTACCATGTTAACATTGTTCACTGAATTTATCTCACAGCAAAAAAACTAAGTAAAGTACATGCAGAGTTATTTACATTTATCTCATTTCTTATAAAATTGATATTTCATAACAAATGAATGTTGGATTTTATTTTCAGTGTATTGCATTACATCCAGTGATTTTAGAAAAGTTTATTTATATGCAATATTTTGAATTTCTAATGACAACCATGGAAACAAAGTTATTAAAAATCTATTTTTATTTCAGAAAATTCGCACCTCGGTGTTGTGTTTGCAACTTGCCGATTATGCCCGAACCTGGAAAGGATGAAACTGTCAGAGTGGTTGCTCTTGATCGCAGTTTTCATGTTCATTGCTACAGATGTGAGGTAAAAAATTTTATTTAAATTCTATCCCTTTTGAATATTAGCTGATGACTTGCCTAAAACTTAATTTTGTGAAAAATAATTACATCTGTAAAGATTTTATTAAAATCTCTAAAAATGATTTTATTTTCAGGGAATTTAATTAAAATAAAGTTCATAATCGGGGAAATTTAAACTACTTTTGTTCATTCGTCATTTAATCAAGTACTTACTTTTTTCTGGAGGATTTGTACATCTTTATAAAATTCTGAGAAAGTTCTTTAAAGAATATGTATCTTTCAATTCAGGCTATTTTTTGTAATACCACTTACAATATCTGTGGTATCTTATTCTTGCTCTTGTGCAAGGATCAACTCAATGTTAACATATTTAGGTTAACTGTTTAGCTGTTAGGCTAGTTTTTTTCTTAATAGATTCGCTCAAATTTGCCATGAAAGTGAGTTTCTCTTAGTTTTTACATTAGGATTTTACTTAAAGAGCTCTGTTATTGTAAAGTGCATTCCAATAATATTTTATAACCGTTGTTGAACACCCCCAACCCAAATTTGAGTTTACGACTACCAATTTTCAACTTCATAGCCGTTTAATTTTGAATATAATCTTGAAGACAAGAGAACTCCTGGATTACTACCCCCAGAGTTATTGATTTGTTAAGAGAACTTGGAGGACTTTGTGACACTGACAGATTATGCATGCTCTAGTCACCATTTAATACACGAGGATACTTTAGTCGTCTGGATCTGAACTCCTGTTCTCATAAACACAAGTTCAATGCTCTACCAACCAGGCTATCCCGACCCCCATTCCAGTAATAATCATTATTGACATGACAGCCTAGGCCTTGGCTTTCTCAAGAGTATTTTTCCATACAGTTCTCTTTGTTGTCAGATCTTGCCAGTCTATTGATAGAGTAGTTAATACTAATGAATTTTTTTTTAAATAGAAGGTAGTTATGGATGTTCCCACTTTCACATCACCTGTAAATATAATATCAAACACAATCTTTGTTTATTCTTATAAAACACAAAATGACTTTGAAAAAATAGATTTACTGATTTTTCTTTTATATTTCTTAATATTAATTCAATATAAAGATTATATAATTTGCACACAAAGGATAGTAGAATATGTATTGGCAACATAAATAAAACAAAATGCTTTCTTAATTAAAATTATGAGTATAGTAAAGTGCGGTGTGCTCTCTGCTTTCGCTTATAGCACTGCGTTTCAATAGGTAAGGCTTAATTTAGCCTAACAAGAAAATTTGAATCCTATTTTCATGGATCTATTGTTTTCTTAAAATTATTACAGTAACTTTTAATTTTCAAAATATAAAATTTTTCTGCTTCCAACTAAAGAAAACTGATACTGACTGTAAATAAAAATTTAAGATTTATCTACACATTTTTATCTCTGTTCTTGGCATTGCTTTTTAATATAATAGCATTTAGTACGTGTAGTAGTAATGTTTTTTTAAAAAAATTATCTTCTTTAGTAAAATTTTGCTTTTACTCTCACTACTTAAAATCTTTATCAAAAACATGATTATCTTAAATTTTTTTAAATTTAATAATTTAAACAAGGACTGCTCTGATTGCTTCACTAAGTCCGAACCTAGCCAGCAAAAATGTTAAGAAACTGGGTAAAAACTCTTTGTTTCAACCTTAGAAATTTAAAAATAATTTTAATAATTTTTGTACTATTTTTAATTGTTTTGTATGGCATTTTTAAGTATGTTGATCCTGTTGTCCATACAATAGCTCATCATGCTAACAAACTGAAAGTAAGTGAATTTTAATCAAAAATTGTAATACAGTGAATGTGTCACAAATATGATAAAATATGGTATTTATGACAATAACACAGCCCAAAACACTTGATTGAAAATCAGAAAACAAAAACAGCATTCCTTACTTCAACTGTAGATCTAGAGAACTGCCACTTCTAATTTTGAGCTCTGTTGCTTTGGAATGAACTTAAAGTTTCATTTCAGATCTAGCCAGCGAGTGAAATACTTTAGGTACAAGAGTTTGTTGTACAGTGTAAGTTTAGTCAAATTAGCTGAATTAGTAATGCTCACAGGCGAACTTTCAAAATGTGGATATTATTTTATTTTATAACCGTCGTTGAACAGTCAACCCAATTCTGGGTTTATTACTACTTATTTCAACTCCGTAGCCTTGTAATTTTGGACCCAATCCAGAAGACAAGGGAACTCCGGGACCAAGTATAATTAGAAATTTGCCTTCGTGGAAGACTTTTTAATGGAATTAACTCAAATTTGCATTACACGGTGAGTAAAACCACAAAAATCACTCACGGTTAGCCTGATGGAAAGGGGATTCGAACTCATAATCCGCCTACCACTGAGGATATTTGTCGTTGTGAAACGAGTGCGGAATTCGTATCGACCAGCTATTGCTGGGATTCGAACCCGGCTTACCTCATTGGAAGGAGAACGCTCTATCCTCTGAGCCACCATGGCTCTGGATTGTAGTCTTTAGATACCTGATCAGGGCTGATTGTGCTACGGAAAAAATCCGGATTTCCGTATTTTTCGCTAACAGTGATCCGGAAGTTTCCGTTGATCGAAGGTTGTTTCAAAAAATCATTGATCACAAAAGTTTCCGGAAATCAAATTTTCAAAGGTGGAACTTAAAAACAGTTTATTTTATTTGTTTGTAAGGGAGAGCCAGAGAAATACTTTATAAGCTTATAATCATGATTAATATTCTTTTTTTATCAGTAAATAGTTGTTATAATCTTAAACTCAAGAAAAAAAGACATATTTGTAAATTTTAATTACTTCTCCAGGTCATCGTAGGTATGTGTAAAATTGTTAATATATTTTAAGTAAACTAAGAAATATTGAGAAAAAGGAAAAATAAACTTGTTTAAATTTTTTTCAATTTAAACTTTTTTTTAACTCAAGAAATTTTCCGGAATTTTGGCTTGGGCTCACGGATCACCCCTGCCTGATTCAAACCAGTGAGTTTTTTAAAAGAAAAATCTATTCAAGAAAATCATATACAGCCTGGTTCTGACTTAACCCTTTCGCGACGCAAAGCGCGAAAGCGCGCTTACCGCTGAGGCCGGCAGTCTCTCTAGCGAGTGTCTCCCCAGGGCCGGAGGGTTTTTTGATGTTAAGCCTAATTCCATGAAATTGCCGAAATATCAGCGCGTTGTTTAATATTGTTCTGTAGAGTATTTAAGTGACATATGCTTTATATATATTTCTATGGATACTTTATTTACTTAAGTTATTTCTTGTTTAAATGTAATATAAATATTAATAAGTTTAAATATTTTGCATAATTTCCTCTATTTCCAACTCAGTTAAAAATTTTCGATGCTTCGACATTCTAACGGTAAAAAGAAAAAAAATTAAAGCCTACAAGATCTAATTATCCACTAAAAACTAATCCGAAAATCGAAAGTAGCGAGAGATAAAAAAAAACTCCCTTACTTACTGTAAATAAATATCACGTGCTAATTTAAAGAGCCCTCATAAAACATTCCCCCCNCATAGGGTTGTGTAAAATTGTAAATATATTTTAAGTAAACTAAGAAATATTGAGAAAAAGGAAAAATAAACTTGTTTAGATTTTTTTCAATTTAGACTTTTTTTTTAACTCAAGAAATTTTCCGGAATTTTGGCTTGGGCTCACGATCACCCCTGCCTGATTCAAACCAGTGAGTTTTTTAAAAGAAAAATCTATTCATGAAAATCATATACATCCTGGTTCTGACTTAAGCCTGACTGGCACATAAGCCTATTCCTCCTGTCTCTGACCTAATGTCGTAAAGTTTAAGCTGGTTTTCTTTACCAGTCTGTCTCCATATGATGGGTTTCCTACTTTTCTTGGCTAGCTGATAATCCCCCCCCCCAAAAAAAAATTATTTTTACTCCTCTGATAAATTCTAACAATAGTAAATTTAATTAGGAATTAATTTCTACTCTTTCTTTACTCTAGGACTGTGGGTTAAGATTGTCCTCGGAAGCAGAGGGAAGCTGTTATCCATTAGATGACCACATTCTATGCCGTAGCTGCAACGCAAAGAGGGTGCAAGCACTCACTTCCTGTATGACGACGGAATTATAATTATAGACTTTCTACCTGTCCTCCCCTTTTTTTTCATTCCTCGGTTAAAAAATGTTTTTTCTATGTGGAAGGCACAAGTTTGTTCTCAAATTGAATCTGAATATACTTCCAATGTCAATTACTTGTGGAGAAAAAACTTTTTTCCCTTCACGCATTTTGATATATATATATATATTTTTAATGTTTTTGTGTTGTTATTTTATAAGAAATATTATCTAGTCTATTATATTTTACTTGGCATAAATAATGATGATGCTTTTGTTTTCCATTGGTTTTATAATTTTTAAAAGATTGGATCAATATTTTTAGAGTTTAAGATATTTAATTTTGATAGAATGAGTTTTTTAATGTTTAACCATGTGAAAAATGATTATTTGATGTTTGGAATAAATTGTATTATTGATTTTGAAATTATTTAATTTTTGTATTTCAATGTAAAGTATGAATTTATCTTTACATATTAAATTAAGATTACTCGAATTTTTTAAAAAAATATTTAAATATAAAAATTTCCAATTACGAATTACAGCTTATCAGTGTTTATTTTAACTTTAAAACCTTATGTATTTTTTTAAACTAAAAAAGCTTACAAATACACACTATATTGCTTTTAGTACATTAAAAATTAAAAATTTATTTGAGGTTTATTTATTTAACTAGTAAGAGAAAATTTACTACAAGATCTTTTTTGAGGAGTAAATAGTGACTAGATACTGAGGTGTACTGATAATCGTAGCTGATACCAGCTTTGACTAAGTATTTGTATTCAGCGTATTTTGGTGTTAAAAAATGTAGCAATCCCCCTTATAAAATAACGTCGTTTGAAAAACACATATTTAGATGAAATTCCTTTTTTAATAAGATTGAATTGAACATGCACTTGAGAAATATTTTTGTCAAAAAATCATACGCATGATGGATTTTATGTTCCCTTACATTTTACACTTTTGAGCAATTAAGTTTTTGACGGCTGTATAATTATTTATTGAATTGTGTACTTATATGTAATTAAAAAGTTTTGGTTATTGCAAAGGTAAATGTTTACCTCTAGCATTATTCATTTCAATTACTAATCTGGTATAAATTGTTCTATTTCATCGGAATTGTGCATGCATCATAAACAGTGAAACTCAAATTAGTGATTATCGGATAATTAGGACTTTGATTATAAAGAGTAGGACTAAAATTAATTGTAGCCGGTTTGTGTATGCTGTTGCTTTAAAAAATTAAGATTGTTTTCCCTTATTTTTTTATTGATAGTACCTGTTATGTTGTTAATATGAGTTACATTTGAAATGATAATATTTGTCAAAAACATAGTTTTTATGAATGAATTATAAGTATTGTAGGAACCATATAAACACCAAGACTTGCAAAATAGATTCTGTCTAAAGATTTGTTTCAAAATCTACGGTTTTACTGAATTGGTGAAAATCAATTTTGGGCTTACTCCCAAATTAATTATTCCAACAAAATTAATGTATAAAAATTAAATAGCTTAACCGTTTTTTCATAATTTCACAACCAAATTTACAAACTTTTTTGAATGCTGCATAAAAGTATTAAACAATTTTTGTGTAAATTCTGCCAGACTCAAAGACAGATTTCCTCAAAAGAGAAAGCTTATTCTATTTTTTGCAAAAACCAACAGGAACATTTGCCTTACCTGATTTTTTTTTTTAAGATTCCCTTGCAAACAATATTAGTTTCATATGGCATTCAAGGATGTATATGTTTGTACATATAATTTGATTGATAATTAGGCATGTTTAATCTACTAAAGTAACGATAATAATAATTTAAAAAAATTGTAAGTTAATGTTTTTTAAAGCCCTGAAAGAGATGAATTTACTCCTGTAACTGCTTTATCAATATTAGAAGATTCTTTTTCTGCTATTTTTGCTTTGTTCAAATAATCAAACTAGTGATTTACAATTTGTTACAGATGTTATGAGATGAATTTATACTACTAATGTTTTAAAATATTATATATTCTTTAGGAATGTTAAAGTACTCCCCTTCCCAATTGCAACGCTTACACCACTGTTCTGATAAAAACCATTATTCTGATTCAATCAAAGATAGAATTAAAATTAATAAAGTTAGAATGTTGATATGTGTGTTTCACTTTTTAAATATGAAGTGTTTTTCATACTCTTTGTAGATTGCTGTCAGTAATTTCTGCTCTCTTTGTCTGTTTGTACTTTTAAACTGAGTCTTTAATAACTTTTGTAAAATGTTGCATGTGATATTTTAGAATAAAAGTGTGCTCTACAAATGAAATAAATGTCAATTAACATTTTCATATAAAGCTGAATGTTGTGTCAATATGAAGAAAAATCCGAAAAGCAATCCCTAGAAACTTGAAAAGGCATAATTTTCAGATAGTTTATTGCTTATTACGTGTTTTTGCACATATGTTACTTAAACGTTTATTTATTTTAAAAGTTTTAACTCTTTTCAAAGCTTTAATGTGAATCAAATTAAAAATTTATAGAAAGTATAATCTTGGCAGTTAAATCAATTGATATTAGATCTTTTGTTAAATTGCTATATCGTAAGTTAATTTAAATTTTTTTTTTTTAAATAATTCTATTGATAATAAAACTTGTACTTATGCATTTAACTCATTTCTGTACATTATGCTTTCTAAGAAATTTAGAGAAAAAGTACTGTAGTGAAATTAATTAAATGTATTTTGGAGAAAATCTTAAAATTTATGTTTTCAAAAATAATGGTTTTTAAATTAAAGTATTCATAATGCTTATTAATTGTATTTAAGTCTCTTAATTTTATCTAAAAAGTATAAAATATTATTTTGTAATGATTTATTTTATGAAAAATATAAGTCAATGCGAATTTTTTATTATTATTATAAATTTTTTTTGAAAACTATAGACATGTTTCGTGATGAAAATTGAAAAACTTTTCTTGTGTTGAGTTTGCTGGGCTAAAGTTTAAAATTCAATTTAACATCCTGATTTGTTTTTTTTTCTTTTCCTATAACAAAATCTTTACAAATCTGTTACAGTGTAATGTTATAAGATGTGTACAGTTTATTATTTTCAAGTCAAATATGTTTTTATAATTCAGCTATGACTCCAAGATTAAATGCCATTCTTTTAAAAAAATGATTCTTGAATTTTGAAATTAACTCAGTTGTTTATATTTAGTGAAAAACCAGAACAGTTGAACTTAAAAAATGTGATAGACGTAATTAGTAACTGGCTAGTTAATTTGGATAGAGCTTCATTTTGTTTCGTTACAAAGCAATTTAATTTTTATCTATTTATAAATGCATCATGCAATTTTGCATCTTAAAAAATTTTTGCTTCTTACATACATTATGAATTCTCAATTTTTGTTGTAAGTTTTTTTCCCCTCTTGAATGGAGATGGAAGATAATTTTAGGGAGATCACTGTAATAAATTAAACTGTATAGTTAAATTTCTGTAGAAGGTGCCAAAAAGCTATAAAGAGTGAGTGACTTGCTTTTTGCATTTTTAAAATGCGCTTTTCGTTTCCCATTGATCTTTCTTATTTTTAACCCACGGGCAGTTCTGTTTGTGGGTTGTAGTTCCCCCCTCCCAAATAGTCATGTGGTAAAAAACTTTCAGGGGTCTGTGCAGACATTTTGTAAAAGGTCCTGTTTTTGAAAAATTGTGAAAAAACTATTCATAGTTTGTGAATATAAAATAAGCGTTAAGTCACATTCTTTCAACCAGGGTCCTGCTTTTGTGAATTTGTGCAAATAGGGTCCTGTTATTGCAAAAATTGCTAAAATCCTTTTCAAGAAGTTTTTAAATTGTAAATAGATACAAGATTCTGCTCAACAATTGCTGCTACTAAATTATAGATGCAACATACAAATATTTGATATTTAGCATTTACTGCTCAACACAGAATATTCATTTCGGACGAATAATGGAAACAAAATCACTCACATTTTTAATAATTTCAATTGACATATTTTAAATAACTTAGTAATGTATCACTTTTAATATGTTACGCATTAAGTAAACTTAAATAATTCTTAAATTTGTAATATTTTATTTAAAAAATAGCCAGAAATTAATTTTTATTTACATAATATTCTATTAATTAATTTTATGAATAAATATAAATTGATCAATTATTTTTTCATAAAAAAATTATGATTTAATATTAATAAGGATTGCGCACACGATGTTTGTAAAAGAAACATTTTCTTAGAATACTACATTTGAAATTTAAACTTAAGGAAACTTAGTTTGTCTTGAGCTGTCTTTCTTTTCCCGATTTTATTCGATTAGAAAAACAATTCGAATGACAAATTTTATTCGATTAACAAAACAATAATGAAGATAAACAAATCTGTGAAGGGTCAGATTAAAAGATAAATTATTTTGTGAAGGGTTTATTTTTATGAAAAGATATTTTGTGAAAGGTTCATTAACGGACCCAAATTTCTTCTTAACAGATCCCTGACTTCACTCAATTTTCTACCTACTACATTTCTTTCTACCTTCTTGAACGTAAAAAAATATAACTTTTCTTTTTCTGCTTCGAATAAGATGTTTTGTACGTGTGAAAGCAGAAAAAATGTAAATGTCAAAGCCACCAGTAAGTTAAGAAATGCTATATTCTATTTAAAACGAAGAAATATCTCATGTTGGTTACGAGTGTGTTACTAGGTATCTTATTTGTACTTATGAATTTATTTTGAAAATTTGCATAATTTTATATCGAAGGAAAAACAATTAAATTTTATTTGTTGTTATTGTGGAAAGCAATTATAATTTATTTTAAATTTATAGTTATTGTGAAATGTTGGACGAAAACTGATGTCTGTACAGTTGTTGGAAATAGTTTGTAATTAAGGAATATTTGACATTTATTTGTTTATTTTTTATTCATTTGACAATTTATATATTTTTTTCACATGGGTTGTTAAACTTTCTTTTTTTAATATTTATCAAAATTCTTTTTAAATTGTCCTTTGTTTAGAGTTATCAATTGTGTAAATTTTACTTTGTATTCATTTACAAATTATGAAACATATATTATAGTTATTAAAATTATTTTTTTTCAAGCAAGTTTGTGTAATTACTTTTTAGTTTTAATTTTCACATTTTGCTTCAAACTTGAATTTAAAAAAAAAAAAAATCCATTATTTTACTTCGAATCCTACTAAAAGCAGGGTGCATATCATTTTTAAAAAGTGCTTAAAGGTGCTTATTTTCGTTTTTTAAAAAGCTCTTAAAGGGGTTTTTTTTTTCATTGAGTGTTTTTAAAAAGTACTTTTTCTCTTTTCGAAAATGAGATTTTTTTCCCCTTATCGATTTTTGCCACATATGCGAAATGTGCTTTTCACATTGTTCTATTCTGGTTGCGGGTTCGAATCCCGCTCAGAGCATGGATGTTTCTTTCTCTCTTTGTGTTCTACGTCTTCTGTGTGAATGTAATCTGTCCTATAAACGGGTTTCGTGGTTGTATGACGTGGGCGACGCTACTCCACCGCCGTGACTTAGCCATAGGTGCCCACTGGGTAACGATAAGAGAGTAAGCAATTCTGGCATTTCAGAGGCCTATGGGAAAGAGACCCAACCAAGTGCCCAACATTAACCAAAAAAAATTTTTTTTTTCTATTCATCGTTTTCACAATTCATTCAACCACAATCCTTTTCGGTCTACCATCAGTCCAAAAATTTTAATTATAAAAAAATGCTTTCAAAACATCAATAACATTCCTTATTTTTTTAAAATTAATACAATAAAAATGGATCGACTTTATACCAAATTTTAAAAGTATTGATAAAAAAAAGAAAGAAAAACGTGTAAGCTTTGTTTACATTTTTTTTTAAAATTGAAAACAATTTATTGGTTTAAGAAAATAATAAAAAAATGCAACAACATTCAATTTGAATGCATTGTAAATTTTTTAACAATAAAAAGGTAAAATTAAAAGTAATTGTTTACTTAAGTAAAACATAATTTTAAATTATTTGGGGGAAAAAAAATTCCTTCAAATCATCACTCTCATTATTATTATTTTTTTTTTTTTAAATAAAATTAGATTGATTAATGGCTGAATTCTATATGTAACAAACATAAACGTAAGTTTTGTTTCATCTATTTATCCATTTTATTATTATTTTTTTTTTGAAAATAAAATCGGAATAAGAGATTAGTTTGAAAATAATACTGTGAATTTCTATAGATCTATTTATTTTAACCTTATAAAAAAGCTTATAAAAATAAAAAATCTGCAAGCAAATGAAAAATAGTAAAAGACAAATTCTATCAGATATTAAGTGAATGTTCATTATCACAGGACTTACTATTTTCACCTCTCAGAATCTCTTCCTGTTTATACATTTTAGATTTTAATAATTACACATTTTGGATTTAAATAAATTTCGTAGGCTCTTTATTTCTACTTAAAACAAGCTTGATTAGAAATGGTTTTACTACCAGCTTTTTTTTCTTTCTAGTTCATAAAAACGGCCCTGAAGTATTTTTGCCTATAAAAATAGACTGTTAATATTCTATAATTGTTGTTCTATAATTGTTAAAAATAGACTGAAACTTCTCACTAGTTATATTCAATTATTTCCATTTTTTATAAATGGATTTTTAGGGAAAAAAAAAAAACTAAAATTGGATAAAAAACAACAACTTAATTTTATATTAAATTATATGTGAATGCCTGCATAATAGATCAAAAGTTATTACCCCAGTGTATAAAACTTACATAGCGCCTTGGGCATAAATTGTTCTACGGAGAAATTGATTGCTTTGCGACGTACGACGCAGCTAATGACGCTTTCTGCTTTAGGGCTTTTAGAAATGCCGCTTTTAATTATGCCACGAATTAAAAGTTTTGGCAAGCCCTACTTAAAAAAGTTCCCTTTAAAAAAAAAAAATCTATCTATTTAGAGCTTGATTCTAGAAATCTAATCTCAGAGTGCCCGTTATATAAAATACCTCGAGCACTAAATTTCATACAAGTTTTATGGAAATTTTAAAGTAATTTTTTTGTTTTGTTACTGAAAGAACGTCACAATAATTTTTAAAAATTGCAATATTCTTAAATTTTGGTTACAAATAGGGTATAGAAAAAATATTTTTAAAAGTGTACAGTACAGGGAAAAAAATCTTCCTAAGTTAATCAAATACAAATTTTAAGATTTCTTTTTATAGTGGGTATATTTATATTTATTAATATNTTCTATAAATATGAAATAAAAAAAATTTTAAAATTTTCTTTTGATTGTAACATTTTTGATGTATATTTACTTTTGCATTGAATTTAGTATTTGATGTAGATACCAACAATTAAGGCCCTGAACTAATTTTTTTTTTCCGAAATGATAGTTGCAACTACCAAATAGCTAAAAACTTTAGCAATTCCCCAACCTTAATTGGTTTGCAATTTTTTGTTTGTGAATTAGTTGTTTTAGTGTTAGGTATTACTTTCAAGTATAGCTAGATTTGTGACGCTTATATATGTATATACATACAGGGTTATTCATAATTCCCTCCGGGGTTTCGAAGCGTTATAGTAAAAAAACGAAGACGAATACGGCAAAAAATAACGTATGAATTATTTCGAATGTATTCAATTTTTAATTTAAGCAGTTGCCGGTAGATGGCAGTAACATGCATGTACCACTGAAGTCAG